AGTATTTTTGAGTGAAAATGTGTGGAATTCACATGTGTAAAAATAAAAAGCCAGCTTTGCACTACACCTGAAGTAAATGTAAAGTCATCATGAAGGAATGTGTGTGAAAATCAACATGTGCCTTGACTTCACATTGTTCACATTTTTAAGAGACAACTAGGAAACTAAACAGAAAATGTATACAAGCACATATCCACCTAAAGAACCACACACAAAATATTCACTTATATGAACACAGCTCATTCAACCTCAAAATGAAATCTGCTTTAATCTGACAGAATGATAAAACACTTGTGAGTCTCTAATAAGTGTGTCCCCATCTGATGGGCCTCAGGTCCTCTTGACTCAGGGGACCAATTTGATTGGTACACAGCACATGGTGCCCTGTGTTGAATTAATGACCCCTCCCCACCACCACCACCACCATCACATTGGGGATAAGAGGGAGACGGATAAGGGTTTAGTTGTCTTGGCAACCTGAGATGCCATCTGTCATGTATGTGCTGATCCACATCATGTAGCTGAGACATTGTCTTAATTCAATCATATTCTCACTACCAGACAGACCTCCTGCTCACGTCACCATGTTTTTAACAAGAAGAGCAGAGTTATAAGATGGGTTTCTTATTACAACTGGGGCTGAATATATTGTGTTTAGCAACCCAGAAACTGTAGTTGAATCCTTAAACACAATTTTGACATTTTGGGAAATACACTTAGGTCTACTCACATTCTTGCGAGAAGAGTTTAATACGGAGATTGTTTCCACTCTAATGTCTGTTCAGTAAATGTCTACAGCCATCAGCCCACTGGTTCCTGAAGATGTGACTAATTAAAAGTGGGTTAGACACATTAAGTTTAATTTAAAAAAAGACTATATATAATAAAAACAGTTGGGCACTGTAGATTTAATGTTTCTCAAACAGGAATAAACACATTTATTCTGTATGTTTGACCAACTCAAGCTAAACTATAGTGCCCATCATAACATGGAAATATGTCACCTTGTGCAACGGTGAAGCTCACTAATGTGTTTTTAGTAGTTGTTGGACAACAATTGAGGTATTTGGCTCACAAGAACAGTTAGTACAAACACTTCATTGTTGGTTTTGGACTTTTGTGGAATTTGTTGAAAAAGTTGAAAAAAATATTATCACTTGTCCTTTAAGTTGTGCATTGTGAAAAGGACATGAATAAACCCATGTACCTGACTGTGTTGTCTGGCTTCCTTTTACAATCCAGGCTGCGTTCCAGATAATAAAGGAGCATTTATGAACTCTGTGGGTGCTTCTGAGTCATTTTAAATTGGTTTAACAGGTCTTTAAAACATAATCAGCATATTCGCTTTACCATACCTGCTTAAAGGCACATAACAGAGACAGGATGTGATTCATACTCAGTTTAGAACTCACTAATTCAGAAGCTTCTATAAAGCAACAATTCACTCAAATGGCTCATTGTGTAAATAAAGTGCAAATAAACAGGAGCGCAGCGGTGACGTGTACTGATAGAGGAAGAGGGGAGTGTCTTTGATAGACATAGTGACATGAGGGACTCGTCTCGTGGGAGAGGGCTGCAAATGAACCAGCAGCCACACCTGCGCGCCCCCTGCCCGATTGAATATTAGGGTTAGCTTGTGGCTGCCTTCACCACCTACCTGATTGATTGAGGCCCTGAAGCAGCTTTCTGCTACTATTAAAAAGAAAAAAACACCATATCTTTTGAGGAAGTGTAATTAACACCCACACCATCCTGGGAGCAGTAATCAAAAATATTAATGAGCAAGAAATACTAGAAGAGATATTAATTGTCAATACAGACAATGACCCATTTTATCTCAGTCCGATCTTGCAGTAAAATATATCTGAAAGTGTTCTGCCCTTTATTTCTACATTTTGGAATGAATGCTGCCTGTGAAACTACCTTAATGATCAATTAATCAACTTCTTTTGTTAAACAGGTAAGCAGAAACAGCCTGTTTATTGGGTATCATCGTATTATCGTAAAGAATGATTTGGCTTGCAATGTTGTCCTATTAGAGAGCACAGAGTCACTGGGTGAAGTTCAACTTCTTTACCCAGCTGAAAGAAAACTGTACCATAAGCAGTATAAATATGCATAAATCGGTAATCATCTGCTCTGCATATGCAACCAACTGTGCACTAATGGAATGATTAATTAAGATTATTACTAACAACTAGGAGGCTTGTGATGTAACAATTAGGTAATTTGCTGAAAACCACAGTATTTAAACATTTCTTAATTTGGCGCCACCCGGTGGTAACAATGACACCGTAACAGACAAAAATGCAAGCTACCACAGGGCGGCAGTAGCTCAGTCCATAAGGACTAGGCTGGAAATTGACAGGAAGGTCGCCGGTTCGAGTCCAACTCGAACCACCGATATGGAGTGTGGACTGGTAGCTGGAGAGCCTCCAGTTCATCTCATGGGCACTACCGAAGGGGCTGACCCTCAACAGCTCAGGATGCCACAAGTGGCAGCCCCCCCCTCATCTCTCCATGTGTTAAAAATTAACAACAGAGTGAAAACATTGAGTGGGATTAATAAAGTAGGATGTCAGGACTGACATCCTACTTTATTTTTGGCCGTGCTCCGTTTTCCATTGCAGATAGTACCCAGAGATAATACCCCTGGTCATCATAGCGCCACAACTGCCGCAACGTAATGTTCAATGCGACACACACACCAGCGATCCACACAGCTGTCTCTTTATTTAAGTTAAATGTTTCAACATGATTATAAAGAAAGATAAGAGGTATGAAAACCTTTCAGCTGTGTTTTCCTCTGCCATTGTTGCTGCAGTGGTCTGTGTGATGGTGGGAGCAGAGGGCTCTGTGAGCGGGCGGCTGGCCGGCCTCGCGAGCTCCTCCTACGGGTTGGTGCAGGCTTCCTCCACCGCCACTTGCGGAGCTCCTCAACTCCGAAAACTCTAAATTTTTATTCCGCCATCACTTTTCGTAAAATTGTCAATATTCGAAATCTACACAGTTGATTTTTCATCTCAAAACTTCTCAGAAGTGGATTTAGTGATGAAATTAAGTATGAAAATTGTAAAATATAAAACTTTCTGTTGCTGGCCTCTGTCTGGCGCTCGCAGTGATGACGCAGTGAATAGACGATTCTCTCTGACCAACCAGTAGTCTGCTGTGTTTTCACGTCACATTTTAGTATCGCCTCAGCTCATTTGGAACCTCGACAGAGGTGATATGAAAAAAAGTACCTGGTAGCAGGTACAGGTAAAATTTTTCCACAATGGAAAACAAATGCGAGTAGAGTTGAGGCAAGTCGAGCTGGGACCATGCAGTGGAAAAGGGGCAAAGGTGACGTTTAGCAGCCCCTTTGGAAGTCGAACCCATTTCTATCCAGCATGCTTATGTAGTCCAGCACGTCACATAGTAGCGCTGCACAGCGCCGCATAAAGTCAACGCACCTAAAGTCAATCGGCTATCTCTGATTGCTTTGTAAGCGCCTCCTGCTGGCCTTTCCATATAGCTCATGGAGGACCAGGGAGTCATTTTGGAGGGTCTGCTCTTTGCCTCAAGCATGTGTGCACATAGAGATGCTCTCCCTGCTATATGGCCTTCCAAGTAGGCATGTCGAAGGGCAGAGAGGCCCCAAAACACAGCAATACCACCTGCAAAAACAGCGTCTCAGATGAGGGAAAACAATGGCTCGAGCTCGGGATGCCTCTCGGCTTGTCTCTTTGGCTATCACGTCCCAAACACTGCAGCAGCATAGCTCCTTATAATACTAGCTTCCTGTAGCGCTCATAACTACGAGCGTTAGTCATCATCTGCTGAATGCTAACTTCGGCCCAAGTAGGTAGGGTAGGTGGTCAAAGGCGTTGGGGGTTCCTTATTGCTGCGCTCTGCCTTGGGCCTTCCATGTATGCACATGGATGGGTGGGGAGGTGCTCTCCATGCCTTATGGCTTTCCACGTAGACATGAAGAGGGGCGGTTGGTCGTTTTGGCGGTCTTTACATCTGCTTCCTGCCTTATGGCTTACCACGTAGGCACCTGGAAGGGCAGAGAGGTGTGCTCTACTTGCCTATGGATTTCCACGTATGCACGTGGAAGGGACTTTGGTTGTTTTGGTGTTTTTCTGCCTTGGGCTTTCCACATAGGCACGTGGAAGGGCAGAGAGGTTGGAAGCAACCTACGGCCCCCATGTTCCTGTATAGTAATAATAATAATAATAATAATAATCATAAATTTATTATTAGCACTACCATTACTAATATTTTACACAATATCTATAGGCAGGAGTAACAGAAATATATTTTTTAAATTGTTTGTAATTTACTTTAATTCTAAGCCCAAATTTTACCTTTCCAACCCAGACTTCAGTGAACCACCACTAAAACTGTAAAGTCAGATTATTGACAGCTGCTTTATGATATTGTATCAACTAGGCTAGTATCACCCAAATTCTTATCATGCTCCTCTTTTAATATTTTGTTGTTGTTGTTTTTACTTAATTGAACAACAACAAAAATATCAAACACAGCAGAGATTTCCAGGCAGAGTCAGACATGACAGTAACATAACAATGGAAAAAAGTATTAAACACAAACGAATAATTCAGTGTTTTGATGTAGGCTACTGCTTCGGGTTTATATGATGGACCGCTTCATTAGAACTGAGTTGCAATGGAATCTAAATGTACTTCCGGTTAGCTGTCCACATCAGCATTTACCGAAAAAACACAAATAAACTTTAACTTGGGCCATATTGGAATGGTTTTCCGTACTCATAGTTTGTTTATAAAATGTCGATAAAGTTTGTAAAACTTAAACTAAAATGTTGTTCTGTTCTTAATAGTCTATGGGGCAAATAAAACAAACCGCTGTGATTATTATTATTTTTTCAATCATGTTCTCAGGAGCATACCTTGTAAATTGACACCACAAACTTGCAGGCGTGTGCAGGAGAGTTTGTTGACGGCAGCCCCCCCTTGTTACACTGTTGTTTACGTGTGGAGAACCTGAGGGCGATGAACATCTGGTTATAAGTGATGTGTGTGCCTGTGTGAGAAGAAAAATACGGGCGAGAAGAGACTGTGGAAACCTATGAAAAAAGGATAGGCTACCTCTAGAAGAATCCCGCCGTAGGTAACTGATTGCGTTTCGTAAGTATATTTTGCATGATAAAATTAATTTTTCCATGAGTTAGGAATGTAGGTAATAATTGTCGTTGCTGTTGTTGGTTAGAACACGTTGTAAACGTGCCTCATTCATATTGATTATTTCACTGTTTCTACAAGTTTTTCAATTATGTTGATACTGCTTGAAAGCAGACCACTGACTTTACGTTTTGGTTATGTAAAATGTCATCTATTTTGTTCATGACAGGGATAACACAACAGCTAAATGATTTTTTAGAATTATCAAAAACGTTTTAGCAGTCATCGATGTGTGTTTTTCCATTATTTAACGCCACAACCATACAATTTAAATAACTCTGAATATGTTTTGTCTTCTTTCTTTTTTTGCATATGAAAAATATTCTATAGCCTGATATAACAGAACTAATGTAAGTCTATAAACAAAACAAAACAACAAACGTTGGTAATTTTTGTGTTTGAATGTGAGTTTTGAAAATGACATAAGCCACAATCACATAAGCACTCAGTAGACTATGTCAGTGCAGGAATGAATCCTCCAACATCTTTGTGGTGTCTGACCACAGGTAGCAAAAACTTTAGTCAGAACTCAATGAACAGACTGTTCTGAGATTATTATTGTTTATTTGATTTACCTCACACTAAAACAATCAATGGAAGAATATTTTTTTTAAATCTTGGTGCCAAAATGGTATTTTATTGTGTGTCACTGCAGCTGGAGGACAGTAAAGTCTTCACTGTTAGGGGTGTGTAAACAGCAGCAAGCGACAGACCTTTCCATCCTGTGTTGATATGAGGTTTATTTAGTCTAGAAGCAGCTGAAGGAAAGGTATGGGGTAAGAGCACAACTATAGCTGAAAGTTATACCTCAAATATGCAGTTGTATCCATTTATTTTCGGTCATTCATTCACTAGTTTTACATTACCTCTGTCAAGCTGTTACAATCCTACAACTGACTCCTAAAAAGCTGATGGAGAAAGCTACTGCTGACAGCAGTGCTGTTGCACATCCACTTGAAGTTATTAATCTTGATATTTTATGAATAGTTTCTGTCAAAAGTTGAAACAGAGAGTGGCTGCGGAACAGGCTTTGAAGGCAAAAGTAGAATGGAGACGCCTGCAGGTTACACAGTAAGAGCAAACTCAGAGCAAATACTGAAATTCATGAAACACATGTTTCTGACTGAAGAGATGATTCTTTCAGTGACAGATTTGCTGCTTCAACTTTTTTTCCAAAGTAAATATGAGGGCTGTCATGTCAAGAAACAGGATTTTGTTAACCAGTTGTGAAGTTATTTTGCTATCAGAAAGACGCTTTTGTTTAATTCTCTGGAGACAACAGTGTTAGAGCAGTGCTGAAGGCCACATGCAACCAAATTCTGAATCACCATGTCTCACTCTGTCTATCTTACATACATACAGTATTTTCAGGTATTTAAGCCAGTGCTATGGCAACTCAAGCTAGCCGTCGTTTTTCAGGTAGGCTGATGTGTAATTGTAGTTGTTTCCCTGCTAACAGCTGGTTACACTGAACATTTTGGAAGCATTAAAAGTTGTGCAAAGTAAATGAGGTGGGATAGACACATGCATGGGCCTGTGTGTGTATGTGGTATGTTTACAGACATGGACCTTCAGCTCTGCTGCAGTATAAAGGCCGCTAGTGTCTGAGAGAAAGGCCAGTAGGTGACCTTTGCCTTCCCTTCCCAGCAGAGCCATCCTGTAGCGGAGGTGTGAATATTGCACCTGGATGTTTTGCTAGAGACAGAGGCTCTCATGCCCTTCTGGTCAACCTGTAAACCAGCCTCAAACTTGGCATGCCGCCCCCTCCTCATATACCATGTCTCTGTCTTGCGTCTGCAAGATGTGTTTACAAAAGACCATTTTCACTACATCCAGTCAGAATTGTATGTCTACAATATGCTCACATTTATCTCCCTGAGCCTGAGCTCATGACAGTTCATTTATAGACATGTTCATCTTTGCATACACTTCACTGCCTACATCAACTACCTCTGTAATCATGTGCGAGGGTTTTGTCTTCATGTTTTTGCTAATGTAAGGCAATTTCATGAGAAACTGTCCTTGAACTTGTGATCTGCAACACTGAATGACAGGTAATGCAAGAAGGCGGTATATAACTATAAATGAGCTAAAAAAGCCAGCTGTTATGCTCCCTGTCTGGGTCCCAAACATCTGCCCTCCAGATGTGCTTTTACTTGACTATTCTACCGAACATCTTTGTTAGAGATAAAATTTTTGTTAGCCATGCTAGAGGCAGGGTTCTGGGGATGGAAAAGTTGCTCCGTCTCTAAATCGGTTGGTCTGTCATTCCGCCACTGAAAACTTTCGGATTGGATTACAATTACATTTTGTGCAGACATTCATGTTACACTCAGGAGGGATGGTAATAACTTTGATGAGCCCTTCACTTTCATCATCGGGTAAAAATGTTTTTAATTTGTCCAATGGGCCTACTTTGATTTATGACCAAATACCTGCAAAACTAATAATACTCATCACGCTCAGATGTGCATCGTATTTAATTGGTAAAATTTAGCATGCTTGCATGCAAAAGTAAAAATATGGTAAAGATGGTAAACAATCTTGCTTAACATCAGCATGTTGGCATTGTTGCTCACATTAGCATTTAGCTCAAAGCACAGTACAGCCTTACAGAGCTGTTATCACAGCTGTAGACTCTTAGGCTGCGTTCACGAAAAAATCTCTCTCATTCATTTGCATGAGGATAGCAACACAGAGGCCTCCGTCAACACAACGCAATGTTGTAAAAAATAGTGCTATAGTTTTATAAAACTCTGTGCAGTGTTTTGGCATCGGAGAAGCTTTAAAATTTACAGATCTGTTACTCAAAATGGATATCCCGGATTGCATTTCAGTGTCTCAGCAATACCTTCAACAACATGCCCTCACCAGCGCAGCTCTGTAGTTGCTTTGCTATACAATTAAACTTTGAAGTTAGTCATGTGGCACGGACTGAGCCTCTGTCTCTTCTGTATATTACCCAGCAGACCCAGTGACCCTCTGCATGTGTTGTTGTCTTAATTCCAGCTGATTAGCAGCGAGGATTACTGGCAGTCAGAGCATGTCTCTGCATGGGGCTGAGCTTTATGATGGAGGCTGCTCTGGGAACAGGACAAATGAGCCATGCAGCGGCACCAGGACATCTTATTAAACCAGCAGTCAGTTTAATCCCTTTGATTGATGATTGTGTGTATTATTTGGGTTGTGAGTGTAAAGCCTATACATGGAAGCCATTGTATAACATTAGTTTCAACCTGTAATGTTGTTTTTATACATGTGCATGACAGCTCTGTTACTCTTCAAAACCATTATGTTTTAATTATTTATTGCTTTCTTAAAGGATAAAGTCGCAATTTTTTGGGGGGATTATGGTACGTCACAATTCAGCAAGGCAACATGTCTGAAACAGAAAGAGGGAATTTTGCGCTAAAATTAATGTGACTTTAGAAAATACCCACTTGAAAACTCAGACTTTTATTTTTGCATGAAAAACAAACTTTTTGCATTTTGCCATCCTCTCTTGGAGGAAGGCATCACTTAAAGACAGTATGAACAGGAGGAATTATTACAGCAACTATAACTTTTTAACAAATGTGTTCCTATTCTTTAAGTAAAAGTGTTTTTTTTTACATTTGACATTTACATTACATTTTTACAGTATCAGAATAGTTACGAAAAATCAAGAATATTTAAAAAAGGTCTTTCATTACAGTGCATTGAGATTTAAAATATTACATTTTAGTTGTATTGTTATTTTAGTCCAATTAAATTTTTTACTTATTAGATTTCCCCCTGCTCCCGCTTGTACTAGCTGCTAGTGGTAGAGAGCACCCTGTGGTATACACATCAATAACACTTGTATGTTGTTTCACTTGTCATTTCGGTAACACTTTCTATGAAGGTCATCGCTATAATGACTTATGCATATATTTATAACACGATATAATGCGTCCATAGAACATTATATAATTTAAAGTTATATAGCATGTATTTGTTGGCTTGTAATAAGGTCTTATAATTAGTTCATATGGTATTATGTCCACCTGTAATATATTATACAGGGATAGATATTTTAACACTTTACTTAAAGCAAACAAAGACATGCTATATAACTTTAAACATTACTATAAGCTATTATCACTAATTGTAAATGGTGACTAAAGTGTATCCATAACGAGGCAGAGTCGGTGGTTATAATGTGTTATGGAACATGGTTGGAGATTCTTGCCGCACATTGATATAAACTGGTATTAATATTAGTTATAAAACATTAAATCAAAAGGTCATAATACGTTATGAGCTTCGCTATAGCGCCTAATGCATGTTTGTAAGTGATTATAACAACTGTTATAATGTCTTATGGACGCATTATATCGTGTTATAAATATATGCATAAGTCATTATAGTGATGACCTTCATAGAAAGTGTTACCGTTATTTCTAATCTTATGTGTCTTACTGTTGTATTTTGCAAAGGTATAGTGAAAGACAACCTGCCATACTGTCCCAATCATTGCAGAAGTTTGGTAGGTTCACCAGAGGACACCATTAGGAAACATATAGGTGGGTCAAGTTCAATTCTTGATTTGGTGCTTTAATTTAAAACTCAAATTGTGACAAAAACATCTGTAAATTAAACAATGAAGACAATGCTCATGAAAAATGTTTGAATGAAGCATGGTTGATATACCATATTCAAACAGGTTTTATAAGAGAAAAGACTTCAAGGATGAAGACTAACTAGCTGGTTTGGAAAATGTACATGAAGTGGTGCATTACCACTTCCCTGAGCATTTTTAAGTGCCCATCCAGGACAATCTCCCAGGGACAGTCCCGAATGAGGTTAAGAGTAATGTAAAATGTCAAAACGAAAATCTAACAACAGTACAAGAAAACATTTCTTATTTTGTCCACCAGGGTCAGTCAAAGACCGATCAGATCTTAAGCATGGACAGTGAAGTGGGAGCGATGAACATCAGCCTTGACAGTCCTCTGAGCCCGAGGCATCTGACCGGGTTGGGGATGAACTGTCTTATTGGCCCAAAGTACAGACACTCTGGGCCGGGCTTGGCCAGTCCTCAGGTGTACAACCAGTGGCTGCCTTACCGCCATGACGCCAGCCTGCTGCCCATGAAAGAAGACCTTGCCTTCTGGCTCAACACCCTCATGGGTGAGACAGTTTTCCTCAATTGATCCTCATGCCAAACTCATGTTAACTACACTGTCTGGAACTCAACTAGAGTAAAACGAGTGCCAGTTCAAGACGTTACTTGATTGTAAAAGTCTGTAAAACTAAACCCACAGATGTTTTGAATTAGTTACATTAAAATACAGAAACTCTTCACAGTTTCAGTTTGGAACTGGGGCTTTTATTTTGAAAAATAGGTGAAAGCGCTGCAGTCATATTAAACACAGAGGCAGATTAACCTACTTATTATCCCAAATCCTTGAAATGCCTCTCCACGAGGGGAATTGTGGCTGGGAAAGGGATGTTTCTTCCCACTTTACTGCATTGTAAGGGAAAACATAAAGGCTCTACACATGCCACAACCTGTTGGAGGGTGTCTGGAAAGTGACAATTCTCCAACAGGATGAGTTTCTGACTGATTAAATGTTTTTGAATGTGTTAGGATAGTTTTGTCTCAGTGTAAGACACATAACTTTTTGATGCATTTGAACTGAAAAATTTATTTCAATATTTGTATTGTTTAAATGGTCTGGTCTTTTTTTTGATTTTGTAAAGTACTTTGAGCTGCATTTAATCTATTAAATGTGTAATATAAATAATATACTATAATAACATTAATATAAAATAATTATCTGTGAAAGTTGAGGAAAATGTTGAGCCTCATTTAGTAACTATGACTTACTGCACATAATTCATTTTTTGTGGATCCTCAGGTGTGGACCTCACAGCAGACAGTCTGATGGAGAGGTTGGATAACGGCGTCCTGCTCTGTCAACTTGCACAGCTGCTCCAGGAGAAAATGATCCACAACACCATGTACACCAACAACAGCAAGGTACTGTAGCAACACAAAGTTATACAGGCATTCACACACACAAACATGCACAAAACACACAAAACCACATCCACACTGCAGTATAGGTGCTTGAAAGTTTGCTTGAACGTTTCTTACAGGAAATGTTTAAGTCTGAAGATGTCACATACAAAGCCCACAAAGTCTTAAACCAGCAAAACCAGATCACGTCTGAGGTTGGTGAAGTCAAAATCTGGTGGTGCATTCAGTCACTGGCCATGTCTGCTCATGTTTACTATTACAAAGCCAGCCTCACCTTGCACAAGATGATGTTCCTGATTTGTCCTCCATACACACAAACCATTTGGTACAAGGGGTGAGCCTCCTCTGTCTCCTCAACCTCACTGTATTCATATTTAAACATGCTGTATATGGCATGTGTATTGTTTATCATTATCATTATCATTAATACTCTTAAAACCTGACTAACATGTGAACCAATATTAATCCATATTTGTGTTATTGCAGAGAATATATTTCCACCATGTACTCACAACCTCTGTGTGCCTGTGTGTCTGTGCAAATATGTTTGTATATATGTGTGTGTGTGTGTGTGTGTGTGTGTGTGTTGAAAACAATCACAGCCCTTCATGAAAAGAGTGATCCACTGGCGAGCTGATGCAACTTCTGGATCATTTTTCGCCCGAGACAATACTGCAAACTTCCTCTACTGGTGCCGAAAGATTGGCGTTGATGAGGCTTACCTTTTTGAGTCAGAGGATTTGGGTGAGTTAAGACCGGAGATTGCGCCCTTACATTATGGAGTCAAGGAGCGTACATTGCTGCTAAATTATATTATTTCTGTTGTGATACTTTCTGATTAATTGGTATTATTGGTGTCTTACTAAAGTACTCTATTGTAAAAGAAATGAGTATTTTAGTGCAGGGAAATTTAATTTGGTTATGGGATAGGATTATTTTAAGGCTGGTGTTTAAAAAAAACAAAAAAAACCATTTTTGTTAATTGTTTGTTGCACAACTCAAAACACATTAGAATAAACCAGTCCGAAGCAAAAAGAAATGCAGAAAATGAAGATACCAAGATGAGTCACGATGATCATGCTGAATGTGACTGACTCAATATGATTATACATTTGTATGCTTTCAGTTTTATTTCCCACTTACACCTCCTGTATGTGTGATGCTCTGTGTGCCCGAGGAGAAGACAACTTGCAGTCAACATGCTAACATGATTCTGTCTCATTAATCATACTCTCTTCTCTATGCACTTCTTACTCGGGCATGTCTACGCAAGGCGGCAGATGCGTGAGAATGATAATGTGCAGGTTAATCCCCCCCCCCCCCCCCCCTCCCTGCAGGCAGACTAACCCACTTCACTTGACTAATTGAGTGACAGGGAGACTTACTGTACTTTGACAAGTTTCAGTTCACTGCCTCGGTGACGTGTAGGCACAGATGATTATTTTTTTTCTTTTCTCTCATCTCTTTTTCTTGCTGCAGCCATGTAATGGTGGATCTCAATTACAGGTGAATGAAAATAAAATCATTATTGATGCAACAGTCTTTCTGCTTTTTTGCTGTTTGTGTTTGTTTCAATCAGGAATGTTGTGGACTTTTAGAGATTGTGCGCCACACTAATTGGACATACTTTAAATCATGCTCAACCAATTGTCAGCTTAACAAATTAACTAACAAGGACCTTTTCTGGTCCAAATTGGGTTTTTAATGTGTAGACACTGGTCTAGAGGCAGGAGCGGTTGACTTGTTGATGGAGCTTTCATGCCCTCATGCCCTCAGCTGCACATCCAGAGCCCACAGAAATTCCTGCTCAGCTTCAAAGGTAGAGATGCACAATGGAGGCAGAGTACCTCCTGAAATGTGCCTTCTCTGTTCAGACTGCAGGTCCTGTTTTCTTTTGACACAGAGAGAGGTTTATCTCCGGAAACATCTTTCCTTTCAAATGACTGACTTTTTTCTCCACCCTCTCTGTTTATACTTTATTCATGTGCAAAGTCCTCCATAAACAACCGTGGGAGGTGTGCCTGTGCCTGATGGAGCTGGGACGGATTGCAGCCAGGTAACTAGAAAAACTGCCCCACCCACGTGATACAGCTCTTGTTAGTTCATCGCAATTGAATCACAGTGAGAAGAAAACTAATAGCTAACTATTTCAACTATTTATACATTACTTTCAAGTAACTATTTGAAGTATTTATTTATACATTTAGGTAACTGTTTCAATTTCTCTGCTTACTTGCTAACTTGATGAATGAGTTTTTCTAATTTCTGTTTTTTCAAATCAGTTGAGCTTCTCCACAGTCCTTCTGGGGTCCAGTGGTTGGGAATCACCATTCTCCACTGTGTGATGTAGCGCTGATGTATCGTCTTGATTGCTGCTATATTTTTATTAAACCTCTCTGTCAGGTATGGAGTGGAGCCTCCGGGGCTGGTGAAGTTGGAGAAAGAGATAGAGAGGGAGGAGGCGGGGTGCTTATCTCCACCATCCCGTCTGTACTTCTCCTTTTTTACTCCTACATCATTGTTTTCACCTTCACAATCATCCCTGCCCCCAGCCCCCTCTCCTTCCCCTCCTCCTCATCCTCCACCTGCGCCCCTCACTCCAAGCACAAACTGTCTGTCTGAAACCCTCGCTCCCTCCCTCATCTCTGATCTTCCATCAGCCACAACAAACCCAGTACCTACATGTTCATCCCCTCCTCAGTCCTACCGCTCAGCCTTTAACCCTTGTACAACCACAGCATCAACACAAACACCTTTGTTCTCTTCATCCTGCACCACTAACACATCTGCTTCCACTTCGCTGTCAGCACCCTCACCAGGCCAAACCCTGGTTTCCACTGCCAAAGTCTCCTCCACCACAATAAACAACCACACTCCCACAGCTACATCTCCCATCACCTTACCACCCGCAGCCCTGACTCCTCGTTCCTCTTGCAAATCCACAAGCCGGAGGAGCACAGGCACTAACAACATTTTGGATGATATTGTATGTATATATTTTATTTGAGTTTACAGATGATAAAGGTGTATACTGTATGTTTATACTTGATTTGCACTCTCTCTGTCTAACCTTTTCCAGGTGAGAAAGATTATCGAAAATCCCCCCTGCAGCTGTCCTACCAGGTTCCTTGTTGAGAAGCAACCTAAAGGCGGCTACCGTGTTGGGGAAAAAGTTCTGTACATACGAGTATGTACGCTCATGTTAACCCTTTCACCTAGGAGTGATGTTTACTAAATTGCAGGAAATACATTTTGACAGACAGAGTATGCCACTCCATCACATTTCATTCAACATAAATAAGAAAATCTTGTTAATGAACGTACTGTGTCTGCCAAGTCACAAAATATATGACGTATTTCATTCATTTGTTTCATTCGTAGTAACTAAAGCATGATTGAACTTTCTTATGATTATGTTTAGGCACTCGCAGCACTTGGATAAAGTTGGGAAATTGGGATAGTCTTACTTAAATATTGAAAAAGTCCAGACTTGAGGCACAAGACAGGACGTCTAACATTTACCAGAAGCACAATCCTTCTCTTACCTTAACCAAAATATATGTAAATTATATCTGCGAGCAGTGTTAGACGGACCTCACACCCTGACACGTGTCGGGGCATCACACCGCAGATGCCACAGCGCTGCCAATGTGGCTCTGAATTAGCTGCACGAAGGACTTTAATGTCCTTCCTCATACACGAAGGACTTTAACTTCCTTCCTCATACATTATGTCCCAGTGTGTCAAAGGTGGAACACATTGTGAATATTTCATCTAAACCATGTGATGAGTGTCACACAGAGCTTACTTTCTGTTGCCAGTAGGTGGCACTATGACTATTACTGATCACAGGCATGTAGATGTCTTCAGGGCGGGACTCTTGTGAAACATGTAAAGTTTGGTACAGATGTGAGCATGTACACTGAAGTTATACCAACTTCCTGTTTCATGGCGAATCATCAATTTTCGCACCACGCCACAGACACACTCTTCGAAGAAAACTCACAGACAGCACAACTTTTTATTGTTAAATTCTTTAGCTTGCATAGTAAAAGTTTATCTGATTAATTCTCCGTAAATCGGCCAAAAAAATTTACAAATGTATTTTCTAGAAGACATGGTTGGTTCACTCCCACCTACCCCAATAGTTGGATTATAATACTGCTGTTGTTGTTGTTATTAAGGTAGTGAAATAAATTAAATTAAAGCTACAGTTATGTAAAATTAGATACAGGATTGTGAAATGTCATGTGTAGAATTATAACTTGATAGTTTGATACCATAACTTGTAAATTATAAACCGAACCCAAAGAAGATGCGTCATAGATGCTACAACACATAACAAGATGTGAGGTGCGAAGGCCTTCAGGTCATTAATCAGCAGCTGAGTCAGAAACAAGTGCAGTGTGTGATTTGCAATCATTTGGGATGGAGACGTAGGTGCCTTTCACCCTCCTGGAGTCGTGCACCACCCTTGTGTGTCTGTACCATACAAAGGCTCGAGGAATGGCCTTCTGGGAGGCAGGGTTGCTTGGCAACCAACAGTCAGGATAAGACTGGGCTGACAATGATTTTATTCAGTACATAGACCCTCAGCAAATAGTTCAAACCTGAAGGAAAAACAAACATGTCTCTTTCAGCGTGATTTTGCGAAGATGACTGCGTGTGTGGTTCAGATGGCAGCCCACTCGGGAGTCCAAATCCACCAATGTGTGAAGGGCTTTGAATATAAGAAGAAGGTTTCACTTGACAATCTATATACATACAACAATCCATCCATACAAAGGGGAAAGCTTCATTTCTAGTGCACACTGTATAGAGTTTATTCTAATGTGTTATCCACATTAGAATTATCCATAAATCCACATAAATGAAATTTACATGCTGTAAATTTAAAAAAAGTATTCTTTTCGAAACCAATATCAATGGGAATATTTTAACAATTAAATGCCTGTGTGATTCATCAGACATGTTCTCACAGAGTACATCTTCACACAGTCACATAAAGGTGGATCACAGCTTGGTGACTAATTGGTCACAAGTTGAAAGCCATTTAATGCTTTGTTAATTGTATTGACTGAACATTCTCTAAACTGGTGATCAATGCTGTCAGCGTCAGTTTTCTGACAATAGAGTTAAAGCTACAGTTTGACTGGCAACATATTTTTACTGCCCATTTAGAAAACAATGCAACCCTTCAAGTCACAGACCACCTGTTGTCTCCACAGCAGACCTGTCAATAACGTGGGTGCACATGTTTGAACACCACATCAAAGAAAGGCAAGGAAGATGTGATAACAAAAGAGCGGCTGTGGCTCAGGAGGTAGAGTGGGTTGGCCGTTAGTCGGAAGGTCTGCGGTTCAATCCCTGGCTCCCCCTGGTTGCATGTTGAAGTGTCCTTGGGCAAGATACTGAACCCTGATTTTGTTAGGACAATGCAACCAAGAAAAGAGAAAAATCCCCTTTTATTTATCTTATATTTTGAATTATTTGTTTTTCTACACTTTTTGCACTGACTGTCTCTACACAGCCTTGCAGATACAATGTTTCACCATAACTCTGTGTGCTTGTGTCAGTTTCAAGCTATAATTACTAGTTTGTAGACACTCCTTGCATGGCTCCCTTCCCTTTTCTACGTGCCGCTGACAAGCAACCACACCTCAGCAGCAGCCCATCGACCATGACTCCATCCATTACCTTGAAGCTTACAGCTGACCACATGTGTGCGGGGAAACATGCCAGAATCCTCAATTACCATATACCATGATAACCCCTTTGCAGCTCCTAGGAGAGCGTGCTATTCAGTGTGTACACCCCTTTTAAAGAGCAGATACTATTGATTACCTAGACAAAGTCATTAGTGAGGGGTCTAATCAGACAGCTTGTTAATGAGCGGCTGAGCATGACCGCCCCTCCTCACATGTAACCCCCCCCCCACCCCCCATTCCCTCTAGAGGCTATTCAGTCACGCTGGCTCTGGAGTGCTCCGCCATTCTTTGTTGTTAAAAAAGAGGAAGGCTTTTCTTTCTTCTCTGCGCCCAATTAGGCTCTCCTTCAGCTTTGTGGCAGGGACACTGTCTGACTGTATCAATGGAAGGAAAGACATTCAAACCCCTCACAATATCATGCCACATCAATTCTTTGTTTATGATGCTATCCTACATAAGAGATAAACCTTAAAAGTAAAATGAAAAAGTCTTGTTTTGAAGAGCAAAATCTGGACAAAAATGAGGATGATGAAATAGTTAATTTCGGCTTCAGCTCAGTATTTCGGCAGACAACCTCTTCATCAACCTCCTTTCTCAACTGTCCTTGAGCAAGACATTGACTCCATAAAGCTCCAGGGCCTTTGTTCTGTCGGTGACCCTGACCTTTGACCATTGATGCAGGGCTGATATTAGTCTTAAAAGTTTTAAAGTTATTATACATTCATGGACCAACATGCCAATGTTGCCATCCCTAGGTTAATAAAACTAGCACGGTTAAAAGTTTTCTCCTCATCCTTTGAAAGAAGTCAAGGGAGTTTTATTTATATAGAACCAAAACCTTTAAACCTGTACAACATGCGACATCCTCTATCCTTAGACCCTCACTGAGATCAAGACATCTTTTGCAAGACATACCTGACTATAACATAGAAATAGAAATCAAATAAAAAATAAATAAAAAGAAATCGAACAACAATAAGACACACATGTGCCTTCATCAGCTCATATACTGTAATACCATTTGTTTTACTGTAAATTTTACAAGAGCCGACGTGGCTAAAGCCTGCCTCCTACTGGCAGCAGTTTTTCCCTGAGTACACTCATGCATCATTCAGCAGGAAAGGAGAGAGGGAATCAATGGAGCTGCCTGGGAGGACACAGGGGAATCCAGACGATAGTTTATGGGCTGCAGACGTAGCACACTTTGTACGGAGACCTGAAGGGGGGAGGGGGTAGTTGTAGTGACAGAAATAAAAGAGTCGGCCTGACAAAGAGGGCTTGTATTGAATATTACAGTATAGAAAGATGCTGACACTGGTTTAGAGTAGTTCTGATGTCTAATATAAGTACAATTTAGCTTTTAGAAAAATAAAATGTATCAAAAGACATTATGTCAGTTCATATTGTGACTTTATTTAATCAGGTAACAGAAACCTGAGTACAAGAAGTCTTTATAGTCAAACAACCACACAACCAGAATAAAAGAAACAACACCCACAAAGGCAGATAACAACAATCAAGTGACATGTAGGATTAATTAAAATTATGTAAGTAATAAAAAACATCAGATAAAAAGCTTTAAAAATAGAAAAGGCAAATTAATTTAAACAATACAGATATTACAACAGAGGGGATTAGTAGCTTGTATTAAAAAGGGAAAAAATGGGAGTAGATGCTGACTGGAAATCAACTTTGGAAAATGCATTTTTGAGAATGAAGTCAAGTCAGAATTACATTCCCTCCATGTCAGACAGGAAAGTGGTTTATTCAGCATGTCAGACTTGACCCCTGTCAACCAAAACAATTTAATCTGCAGGATGACAGCTGAGATGGACCAAGTCTGGGGTTTCCTAGCTGCCTGTGTCGTCTGGCTGCACGTGTGTCTGTTCTTGTACCATTGATTTTTCATCCCGTACACGTGACACACACCTCCCCGCACAAGACGAGTAGATCTGCTTGTATTATCACATTCTTAATGGCTCCATAATGAAGGGTTTATTGGCGATAAGGCAAGAGGGGGTGGGCCGGTGCTGACAGGACAACGGATGGATTTCCAAGGCCTCCTGGGAATGTTAATGTCTACTGGGAGTTGAGGGTCTATGCTGAACTCATCTCAGTTTTGTCCCCCAGGCTTTATATGGCTGTAGTTGCCATGGTAGCAGCTGCTTTTCAGCTATAAGGATGGCTGTCTGTGAAGGATGTGTTGATTCAGACCACTCTGACAGTAGTCATTTTATTTAAAATACTGTTTATTATGTGGTTTGTGTTGCAGATCCGTGTGGGTGCGCCTTTGTGCGTCACTGTGCGCATGTGCGTATCCATGTTCATATGTGGATTAATCCTGCAGTGTGCTCAGCTGGTGCCATGAGGTGTTGTTTCATTTGGTTTAATGAGATTTTGACAAAGCAATGCAAGGGCTCATTTGCCTTTCATAGCCAGAGCAACACATGTGCAAGAAGCTTGTAAATATTACATTGGTGTGTGTGTGTGTGTGTGTGTGTGGAGGGGGTTGCTGCTTTTTATATAATCGAGAATTCATAAACATCATGGCAATATATCAGCCAGGACATATTTGCACACTTTATTTCCCAGCATTCCCTCTTTGATTGTACTGTCTCGTGTTACCTTTGCAGATGCTGAATGAGCGTCATGTGATGGTGCGCGTAGGCGGAGGCTGGGAAACCTTTATAAGTTACCTGCAAAAACACGACCCCTGCAGAGGAGGAGGCCCGGTCAATAGATCTGAGGTCAGGTTCTGTAGGGACAAAGTGAAGCCACCCAGTTTGAACATCTCACCTGACAGCTACATGGTGGTTGGTGCCCATTATTGTGGCAAGAAGTAGACTTCAAACTCCTTTCTGCTGCTTCTGGCTCTGGGAAGCAGCGGAGAACATTTCACTTTAATCAGACCAAAATGTACAAAGCTAATGATTTAACATATAGTTCAAATCCTTTACCTCAATTTCAAAAGGAAATCCATCTCTCTAAAGGTTTTCTTACCTTATTGTTATCTATATGAATTATCAAACCTACTAGACAATTTGGAGTAATTGGCAACAAATTAATAAATCGAAAGATCGGCTCAGTCACTTATTTTTATTTGATAATAAACTTGATACCTTTAGCTTTTGGACTGTTGGTTGAATAAAACAAGCAATCTGAATAAATAACACTGGGCTGCGAGAAAGTATAACAGGAACTTATCACTATTTTAAAATAATAATAATAATAATAATCGTTAGTTGCAGCACTAGTTGTTATGTACTACTTTCATTTAATCATCAGCATCAAATATCCTTTCAGGCAAGATTTTGTTTAGTACTGTATGCAATAATCTTACTGGAGTTAAGTTATATTTGTTCTGTTTACTTAGGAAACATGCAGCTTTGTGTGTCATAATAATGTAGGTTGAATTTGTGTGTTTGAGCTTTTGTATTTTGTATTTGGAAGTTCCAGCAGCAGTTTATATAGTAGTCTTAAACATGACAGTATGGAATAATTGTTCTGTATTTTACTGGACAAAACCTGTTTTGCTTTCTGTATAAAATAAACTTGTTTCAAAAAAGTGATGCTGTTTTTAAGATAGAAAAGAGAGAAAATCTTTTTGTTTTCATAGTATATATCCATCCATCCATCCATCCATCCATCCATTCTCAACTGCTTATCCTGCATACAGGGTTGCGGGGATAGTATATATCATAATTTATAATTTATATATATTCTGCCATACACGATGAATGCAAAAAACACTTTTATATTTCTAGTTTCTTATTTACTTTTAAATTATAGGCCTGTTACAGAAATTTCATCACCTTAGCCTTAAAAAGGAAAAGACACAAACCATCAAGTCCTCCCTCTAGATGGCACCATGTCCTAAGTGACAAAAGGCCAAGTCTTGCCTCCATGCTTATTTGGAGGAGGATGCTGTCACTGCCGTTATAATTGTGTCTCACCTCTTGTGGACATTCATCTCTTAGTTGTTGAATGTTAGTTAATCTGTTTTTAGTTTTAACTTCATACCTCGTGCCCACAGATACAATCAGACAATACACATCGCTGTCACACCTACATTTTTCAAGATAAAAGTGCTTTAAAAAAGGAAGGACGATTCACAGATGACTCTGTGCGACTTTGGAGAGAAAAATTGCAGAAAGTCAGGCACATATACAAACAGTGAAAGTCCCAATGCATTAGTTATTACATATTTTATTTCAGTAAAATAAATTAATTAAAAATGGACACATTTTAATATATTGAAATAAACTAACTGTAATGAGCTCATGCAAGACTGTAATGTCTTTTTAGTCCCCACATAACATCTGCAGTGGATTGAACCAGTATAAATGACTTGTAGAAAATAATAGCTGTGCTACTGAAACAAGTGCCACTCTAAACTGTGGCATTTTCACAGGGCATCTCTCATTGCACAGAGTACATTTCTAAGTTCCTCATGAAACACAGGAAATTGCCACTTGAGAGGGATTTTACAACAATTTCAAATACATTTGTTACACTGTGCTGACCTCATTCGTTCTCTAGTACAATATTCCTAATGTTTTGTAAATTTTGCTACTGTGCGCTACTGTTGTTCTGTACTTAACTCAATCCAATCAATGACAAAATCTTAGTTTTAAAATACAGACATTGTTATGTGTGAGTGTTCTTGAAATTTACTATTTGAGTTATGGGGGTATAAATATGTGCTTTAAAATTTCTGCTTGTAATACCTTTTGTCAAAGTACTGCACATGTGCAGTGGTGGCACATTAGTATTGGAAAAGCCAGATTTTCCCACCTATTATACACAAAAAACTTGTATGAGTTGTGTGCAATTGTGCTTCAGTCCTAACAACACAATATACTTGCACCATGTACTTATACATTACAGTTTACTGCTTACAGTAATACTTACATTACTGCGTATGAGTTTGGGTGTGAACTTAAAACAATAAAACCAAAACACCAAATAGCATTGCATTCTGCGAGTTGTGGGACATCAGAGAATACACTGACAACCATAGATATGAATATTTATGGTATGTCCTGGTTTCTGGCATAAATATTTTCACAATAAGAGCCTAAACCAATTGACCCTAAGCACACAACATGGTATGAACCCAAACTCTTTGTAAAAGACACAACAGGGTGCTTATCACATGCTCTGATCATCTTTTGCTCCCATGTGTTGCCTTGCAAACATATAATGTATAACTCCACCTGCTCAGATGTCAGGTTCACAGACCTTTTTGAGACCCAGCAAAGTGCAAAGATTCAACAAGACACTGAAGATACAGTTTTCAATCATGCCTCAGTTAATTTCCTCGACTTCTGAAAAGTGGTAGCCTCATGAGGAGGTTAATTGTGATGGTGAAAGGACTGAACATCACACACAGTGTTGTCAATACACATTATAACACCTTTTTTTCTAAGAAAGTTAATTGACATAGATGATAGAATATCTCATGACTCATCTCCAGCAATCAACATTTATAAAAACTTCATCACACATGGCTGTAATATTCTCGTATCATGAATTTGTATTGAGCTTGAAAAATTCAAAATAAATTGGATCTAATGACTGAGGGAGAAAAAAAATGTATTTGTGTAACAGAAAACCGGCTGCTATGAGTTATTATCATCCTCAAGTGTCACCAAGAGAATTTCTTCCTCTTTTAAACAAACTAGTCCTACCTATTAACACCCTGTTTTCAAAACCTTTCTCATGGCCCTGTCCCATACTACATACAATGAGGTGTTTTATATTGTAAGTTAGTACACAACAGCTGCTCAAGGTGTGTACTAACCATCACTCCAACTGCTGATTTGAAATGTCAATTCCAATTTAAATGTATTTATTTTTGTTGCTTTTGAAAATGCAGCTGTTGTCCACTTAAAGAAAAAAAAATGTATCAGCTTTTATAATTGTTAGACAATACTTTCCATTAACACAAGACTTAAAAATCAAGCCATTTTAGTATGGGTCCTTGTGATTTTAAGTGTACTTCTCCATGAGTGGACACACCACTATTAAAACACAAAATGAGAATCCAGTGTGTATTTGGAATACAGCTTTTTCTAAATTACTATTTGTGCTTTTTCCGACTTTTTAAAAGTACAAAGAAAAATGTAATAATTCCCATGTTCTTATCGCATACTATATAAATATACAGTGTACCATTTTTTAAGTTTGTAAGTATTTTACTGGTGAAGAAATAATACAAGATGTGTTCTACACATTAATCAAACATAATCAAATGTGAATTTGGAATGCCAATGTCAATCTTAAACTCTGAAATCAAAAATGTTTAATGGAATTATTACTTCATTTTTACTTTATGTTTTTACTTTTTTGTTTTGTTATCCAAGATGCCACTGCACCAACATCCATATTTTTTAAAAACAGAGTGAACAGCTCGTCCATTTCCATTGTGCATTGCATTGTGGGACAATGATATCTATCACATAAATTACATTCCATATTCTGCCTGTTTCATTGTTTCAGCTGTTACTGACCCAGATTTTAGACTGGTGACATGGTGACACTTAGGCCCTCCACCAATGATTGATGTTACAATGTTACTGTACTTAATGCAGATGAGGATTTGGAACACAGCTTGTGCTTTCATTTTTAGTGGGATCACTGAAGTAGCTTTTTTTTCTTCTAAAATTGCTTGTATTCAGAGTATTACACAAAAAGGCTGACAAACATTAAGGGTAAACAATGGAGCAATCATATACTTCCTCCAGTTTGGTTCCTTGTTTTTGCTCATCAGGTTATGATTCAGCTATCAGCAAACAACCAGGTCGGAGCTGTCAGTTTGGTGCCACAAAATACCTTTATGTTGCTGAATCCAACAATGGATTCATGCTCCTACCACCACCCAGTAACTTTTTATCCTCTCCATGCTGTCAGCCATCATTACCTCTAAACAAACAGAAAACAAACATTCTTATTCAAAATCTACTATACACAAACAATGATCTGGATCTACATAGAGATGCATTTGTACATATAGAATCTTTACAGAAGCAAACGGTTTGCTTGTCAATGCAGATTTACTTCTGTGTAATTTATAGTACTGACCACTCTGCTAGATGCATTTTGTGCTCTGCAAAGGCTGCAGACATTGCCCCCCGGGCTCATGTTTGATATCAGTTAGTGTGCTACACTAAAGATAAGCAATGGGCAGTCAACGCCAGAATATTTTTTTGTTTTTTCATTACGAACTATAACACAGCACACATCACTCGACTGAAAGAGGAATGCTGACAGGATGCTCTGACCTGATGTTTGTGTGTTTGATCCTTTCGGAGGATTTCTCCCATGATTCATCTGGAGTAATTGAGCGTGTGTGGAAAGCATGTGCTGGCGTGCGTGTGTGTGCTGTGTGGGAGTGTATGTGGCTTTATGTATTCAAGAGAGCACCATTATAAGACAAATTCTCTTTAGAGAAAACAGTCACCTTAAGATCGCCATAAAGTCAGCATGTCGAACATCTGAACCAAAAAAATGGTCTTATTTGTGCTATGAGAGCCATGCCCCAGCCATACGTTACTGTAGGTGTTACTCTTGGTGTTCCTAGAGGTCCCTCAGGGATTTTCGAGATTAGGTGTGTGAAGTTTGTCGTTACTTTGCTCCTTCTCAGGCACACTGAACACTAAAGGGGTATGGCGATGTCGAGGGTGGTGTGGGATGGTGATCAGACAAAAACTGTTTCAGAGTTAAACATCACGGTTGGAAGGGTGTGGTTTGTGCGTTCGGTGGGTCGGTCCTTCACGACGCCTCTGTCACACGGTTCCATTCTCCTGCCTCGGCTTGTGGGTCGTTGTGCGAGCGGGTGTGCTCAGGGAGGGGGCCAAGGTGCAGAGAAAGCCAGCCAGCAATGTGAGACCTAGCCCCCCCCAGGCACAAAACATGGACCAGCCATAGCCATGGCTAATGTCCTCAGGTAGGCCGTACATGTAGCGGGGGTAGCGGGATAACTCAAAGTTGATTCCTGCCACACATGTGCACAAGGAGATGATGCAGCATGTTCCTGTGTGAACAGAAGAGACAAGCAGTGATTTAAAATGGGGCCAGTTGACTGTGCATCTTACTGCAGGGCAGGGATTGTGTTCCTGCAGGACATTCATCTACTAACTCATGTTAACCCAAAGATGCTTTCAGCTGCCACAAAGAAATGCAGAAATTGAATAAAATGCAATTTTGTCTGCATGTTTGTGTGGATGTGGCCATACATGCTCTCACAGTACCTCCCATGAGAAAGAGTAGCCCAGCTACATATTGCATGAGGTCATGCTGCTGGCAGCATCCCAGCACTCCGATGATCCAGCCAAAAAGAATGATGGAGACGGCCATGCCCACAAAGCCAGCCGTCATCCTTCTTAGATCTGCAAGCAGAGGTGAAAACGTCACCAAGTAAACTGTAACATAAAGATCCTGAACAGTGACACTGAAGACTATTGTTTAAACTGGTAAATACTCTGAAAGCTTAATGTAATTGACAAATTTAGTGTCACAGTATGCTTAAAAACTGATATTAAAACATTGCCTTCCTTTTCTTTGCCAGTGAATATAGGAAATAATCTTGCAGTGTGACACAGATGTTTTTCACCAACCAGGTAATTTGTATCACCTTAATTGTCTTGTTAATCTGAAAACATGTGATCCAACAACCCAATCAATCAACTTGATTTAAGCCATAAAAGACTTCAGGTGCCCCTGTCTTATACTTCTTTTAATTTGAATGCCAAAGAAGTAACTGAAAACCAATGAGGCTAACACTTTATTTAATGGGTTCATAATTCTCTATTTCCTTGGAAGTTTTCTGGAACTGTTAAGTGAAAACAGGAAAGGACATAGTACATCTTTGAAACAAAACCTGTAATTAAACCCAAGTAAATTTTCATTCCTTTTTTTTATTAGAAACATTATTCTCAATGTACGCTGAAATGTATGCTTATCTGGAGATACATTTAAGCTTTACCCCAACAAACTAAAATAGAGGATAAAATTGTAATTGATGACAATTAATTCACAACAGTAATCAGCAATATCTAGAATAACAGCTTAGATAATGTTTTGGTATAGCATGTTCAAAAGAGAACATATCATAGCAGATTCAGAACAACACAAAAATAGTAGAAAAACTTCAATCACTGCTAATGTAATCCATGGTCAAACAACTCTTTCACTTTTTTCTCTTTAAACAAAGATATCAAGTAAGAAATACAAGCTAATCCAAGTGTTTTAAGAAGCGATATAATAGAAGACTCTGATCTGTCCAACCAAATGTCCTCTGATCAGCCAGTCTAAAGCCAATGACTCACTAACAGAGATGACCTGATAACCTGTGGTCATAAGTCTAGACATGGGAGAGAAGGGCTCATAAAATCAGTGATATTTTCAGGAATTAGGGGGAGTATAATCTTTAAACCAATTCAGAAATGAACAGGCAACCAGTGCAAGATGCTAACATATATGATAAAATGCACTCTTGTGCTGCTTTAAGTTAATGACCTGGCTGCTGCAACTGTAGATGAAAGACTTATGAGATTCATAGAGGATTTAAGGGAATGACAGCACAGGAAGATAATGGCATTAATTTATTTCACTAGTAAGGCTAAAGAGACTATTTCATAAATGTCTTTGAAATGGTAAAAACGAGCAAATTTATTTATCATTTATTTTTATCAAAGATACCAAAATATCTTTGAATGCCCTTTGGTATATGTTTACAAATAATGTGACCTATGAGGCCCTTCAGGCATGCCAAATTTTCATATACAGTATATCAAATTGAGTCAACTAAAACCCCTGAATGCAAAGACAGCTTGTCTAGAGGATAACATTTTAAAGTTACTGAACAAGAAGACTTGAATGAACACGGACCATTATAAGATGCTAGATCATGGATTTTCTCAGTCTTTCCTGTTTATTGTTTTCTCTTTTTATTGCTCAAATAGTCTGTTAATTGAATACAGTAAAAACTGAAAGCAGAAAAATAAATGTAGATAAACACAAACGATGCAAAGAGCATATAACCAGCGACTAAACCAACAAGTCCAACCAACTCTATAAAGACCGACACTTTCAGACTTACGGAGTGCATGCCACTCATCCTGTCGTATGGTCTTTGTGATGTTGATGGGTAAATTTCGTGGTAGGATGGACGAAGAGTAGTGATACTTGACTGGGGTACATCTTTGAATTATTCCTGAAAAATGAGATGGAGACAATTTAAACTGGAGCACAAATACCTTCAAGTAGAGAGAGGTAACAAGGAAGACAATTCAGTAAAAATCTCATTCTGAACCACTGACCCACTTGTGGGATTATGAAATAATACACACACAGTAGAAAAGCTTGATATTTATTTTACACCCTCACCAAGTTTTAATTTACTGAGAAGGCCTCATTAACGTTGTGTTCCCAACCACTCCCACATTGTTATTAACAGGAGATTAGGAAACAATGTGGATTATGGATTATTCTACTGAAGGCTATATAAAGAAATTTAATTTCTACTATTTAAAGTCAATCTCTTCATATTGACTTGATTGTTGGTGCAATAAACTCCATGTAAAATAAGAATTCACAGTCCAGTATATTCAGAATTTGAAGACTTGGTGCACAACAAGCATGTAGTCCAGTCTACTTCTAAACGCATACACCAACTTTATATTTCAATTTGCCTCACTTAATCACTGAAGTAGTTTGCATTTAAGGGAAGAACATGATTTTACCTCACACAGGCTTCACCATCTACTGGACTGTGTGGGTAATAGATCTCTCCAAGAACATACACGTATTCGCCCACTGAAATTTAAATGTGCGTAGTGGGCCAATCGGGACATCGCTATTGAAAAATGCATGTCACAGTACATATAGAAGCATCCTCACTGACTCTGCATCCTTTCTTCTTCAGTTTTCTTTTTTCCAAGGACAGAGTCACAGCTTCAAGAAGCTTGCGGCAGACCCACATGTCTACTACCGGATGGAGGAGGAGGTCCCAGGGCCACTGTACCATTACTTCCACCTCTGGCAGCCCTAGCTGTGACTGCTGCTAGAGAACAATGAAAGCCTTTCATCGGTGTCCAGAGGTCAGTGCTGTTTGGGAATCCACCACCAGTTTCAGAATGCCATGATATTCCAAAGGTAATGACATTAGCAACAGAGCGTGTTGGGCTCACTCTGCCCCGGCCAATCCAAATGACTGCATAGTTCAGGGGAAGCATGTGTTACTGAGGACTGACAACTGTACCACAGTGACCTACATCAACAGGCAGGGTGGATGGTTATGGTCCTCAGAGCACCTATCTCTCTGAAAGCTCTCCACATCCCGGGTCTGGAGAACAGGGGTGCCCACCTCCTGTCAAGGGACGGGTCCCTGACAGACTAATGGAGGTTACACCCAGAGGTGGTGGAACAGATTTGGACTAGGTTTGGAAAGCGGAAGTGGACCTGTTGAGTGAGCTTGGACTGAGTGAGTGAGCTTTGTACCCTGTTGGTTCACCCCAGTTGCATGATGCTTTGTGGTAACTGCAGTGGTGCAACTCTGAAACTGAACCCCTCCTTTGTTCCCAAGAACATAAGGAGCTCATTCAGGTCAAGAACAATATATCTGGATACATTTTGTTCTCCACTCCATGCAGGGATCAGGGAGGCAAAATCCCATCTTCTATGTCCAGTATGTGCATTGGCATGGACCCCATCCAGTTCACTGATTAGCTGTTCATGTGCTGTAGAGATGGTGTGGACGGTAAAGCCCTGTCCAAGAAACACCAGGCTAGGTGGCTTTGTGAGCTCCATCTATAAGCAGGCAGGAGAAGACCCTCCCATTATGGTCTGTGCACACTCCGCATGCAGCGTGGAGGTGTCAACGGCCTTGTTAAGTGGGGCGTGTCTAGGATATACAGTATGTGTGGCAGCTTAGTCTATGCCCTGTTCATCCGGTTTTATCTCTTGCACATGCTGGACACCTTTTCAGGGTCTGTGGTCGTGGTATTGACTCAGGACTGGTGAAAAGGCAAATTGGTGGGACCACCCTGATGACCACCGAATATGTACACCAGTTTTCTCCCATAAACGTGGAAGACATGGTGGAGGAGATGGGTAGGGTGTCTATTGTATGATTTGATCCCCGCTAGGGTTAGGCCATGTTCTCACCCAGTTTAAGGCCCTGCTTATCTGGGTGGGTTGGGCCCCGCCGTGGCAATTTGCCTAGGACCAGTCATGTCACTAGGGCTGTCGACGTGTCATGGATGGGCTTTACAGTCATTGAGCTTCACCTACTGTATGCATAGAGTCCAGTAAAGGGCAGTCTGTGTGAGACAGAATGAAGGTCAAGATATTGTAACCCTTTTTAATTAGCACAACCTGAGCCCTCTGCCAATGGCCCCGGCCGCATCGTCAGCTGAAGAGGTTGTCAAATGTGAAGGCAGGGATTACGCTTCTATATATACTGTGACACTCGTGTATCGGTAGCGATGTCCCAGTTAGCTAGCAATGATCATTTCAGTGGCTGAATACGTGTTTGTGATTGGAGATTGCTATTACCCATAGAGTCCAGTAGAGTGCTCCGCCTGTGCTGATAGAAATAGTGTTACAATATCAAAAACAGGCTAGAACCATGACAGATTTCTTTGTTTTTCTAATGGGGGTTCATTAGTTTAATAATGTAATTCTACTACATTCCCATAACTTTTTTCAAAGCTTTTGTCAACTGTTACATGTTCAGACTCTTTTCTTTTGAAAATCAGGTTTGTGATCTTCTAGTCTTTGATCTGAATGTTTCTTTGTGGAGGCACCCATATCTACTATTAAAGAAAGAGGTTGATATATCAGGGTAGTATTTCAGTCCAAATACCTAATATCCAGGCGGACTGATGTGGTACGTATAGAAAAGCCAACATGTGATACTACATTGCAGCTAGCTACCTTGTTTAGGTATTTGTGGCATCTAAAACTTGTACTACACATGAAAGTTATGTGTGAAATGGAAATCACGCATTTACTCTTAACATGACATCAGGACTAATACGATTAAGGACTAATATTAGGGATTCAGCTTCAAGTACCAAGTTGCTTTGAATGCAAAACAAGCAGAGAGGAGCTAAACTTCACATTTCACTTTAAGGAAAGTTTCAACTTTTGTAATTCACAAGAAATTGTGTTTTTTAATTACTATAACTGACAAAATGTTGGCTACCTGGCAAAATTTTAAATGCCCTGCACACCTATGGTAGATCCACATGGGTATATATATAAAGTAATGTGTGAACATTTGCTGTATAGATCTGGAGCATGTGTTCAAAACTCTAAGGGTTAATTTAACACTATATCAGTGTGCACACTGATGGTATGTCCACACGAGCAGAATTTGTTTTACACAGAAATGATTATTTTTCCGATGTCTGACGTTTTTATCTGTGCATAAAGTTCACAATTAGCAGTACTTGAGAAAATGATTTTTGAATAACTGTTTTATGTATTTATTGTTTGCCTGTAAGTGCACTGAAATACTGTCATTTAAAGGTAGGAATCCAACAAAAATCTGCCTGACTGTTGACATCTGACCTGTAATGTATTAAACTTGGTCCCCCTGCTTTAATGACAATTAAGCTGCTTGACTTGCTATCTGTGGGCATGCACCATTACAGCTCTGAAACTAGATTTTTCAGAAATATTATCTGTTCAATTAGGTCCTTTTATGTGTGTTTTAAATGCCACTTTGATGTGCACCAGCTCGTGAAAAATGCAAATGTAACTTCTATGAAGTGAACATGGCAAGTGACAGAGGAAAGTTGGGACAAAAAGGAAAGCTGTATTTAGCCTTTTTCCCCACTTTGTCTTTCATTTGTACATGTGTTAGTCCTTATATAAAGCTGGCTCTTTAAACCAAGCGACCATTATATGTCATCTGTGAAAACAGTAATAATGTGTCTAGCTAAGATATCAACGCCAGTATTGGCCCTAAAAATCTTTAGCAATAAATTAATAGACATGACTTTTGGAATCATACAAGGCTAAGTAAAGTGATTAATATCATGTCTTCACTTACACTAGGTTACATGCAGTATTTACTTCCGTGGCTACTAAATTTAATAGCAAATATATTCCATTATACTTGAATTTAAGCCACATTATAATCTATACCTCTATTCTGGCAATTTGGAGCTCACAGTATGTTAAATAACCCAGAGGTACAGGAGCTAGTAGTAGCAAGCACTTTCAGTAGCAGTTAAAGTCATTGTAGTCATGTGACCACAATCATTTCTGAGTATTTATCAACATATAAAGTAGAAGGTGAGAAGATGATTTATCATTTCTGCATGTACAATTCAAAAGCACTATAACAAATGCTTGTAATACATGTTTTATATGTTTGCTGACACTATGTGTAAAAGACAGTCAAATGTATATTTTAGACTACAGGACTTAATTAACACCTTTCTGAGAAAAAGTCAACAAAAACAGTAAGAAAACAAGCTTCATAAAATGTGTGTTGCAGATGTATTGCCATAAAGTCTACCCTTATAGGACTTAGAGGTAAAGACAATAAAACAAAAACATAACTGTGTTGATTTTACACACATAAACTGTACACTGTTGTCGCTATATAATGACTTTTGAAAAGCAGAGCTGAAAGAGTTAATATAGATGATTTTTCTTCCAAATCTTGTATTAATAATTCTATAAAAATGTTTTTTTAATGCTACATTAATTGTAGATTTGCAGATTTCAATAATTAAACTTAACAAAAACAGTGCCATTATTCATTATTTCTAGGTAGATAAAATGGTTCGAGCTCAGGCACAGATGGATTTTGAAACAACATGGTGTAGTTGATAATTCTTTAGACACAATGCTTGGAAGATAACTTTCAATAAAGTGCCATTGGGGCTGTTTTGAGGTTTATGATGTATGAAGGCACATCTACTTCTGGTTTGACAGCTGTGATCACAACAACAACAACTTGTAGCACAGGTTTTCCTCACAGGGTGGTTCTCTTTGTGTATCTGCCCAGTATCAGGACCTTGGTCTTGACCAGGTTTAGCATCAATGCTTGAGGCCTGAAATATGGCTTCTCATTGCTGTTCATTCTGTTCAATGTACATTGTGTTTTCTCTGCTGTGGCCCAAATTTCAAACCAAATATATCAGTAATTCGTTTGCACTATGAAATCACGTTATTGTGACATTAACCTCCACACAGATGTTGTTTCCTATCTTACTTTGAAAATAAAAAGAGAAAACAGAGGAGCTACTGGGACCGGCCATTATCTCAGACAGGGACTAAAGAGGGGGTTCACTCAGCACCATGGACAGCGACATTAACAAATAAAGACAAGAGACATAGTCTTCGCTTCGAAAATACATCCTGTAGCCTATCTAGTTTTAACCGGGAACCGGGAAACGTAAAAATCAGAAGTTAATGTAAGAGGAGAGAGTCGGCCTCAGTGCAACCCTGTGTTTATATCAGGCTAGGTGTGAGCTCATCGCCGAGCATCACGGCCTATTGCACACAAGAAAAGCCAGGCGTCAGACTGCTCTCGTTTACCTTTGTAAATAAGGTCCTCGGTCTCCAGGTCGAAGCCCTCACGGTGACACTTCCTCCAAAGCCCGGAGATGGTGGAGTTAAACTGCCGACTGCAATGAGACTCCATGGCAGATGCCGCGGCCAGAAAGTGCCGCTTCGCCCTGATGAGAGCACCAGCATCTGGGCCGTTACCTTTCCTCTCCAGGCTCTTTGGAGGCATCTGGAGAGGGAGGTTATGGTTTGAAATGTATATGTACCCCGGGTCGTTTCGCTTGTTGGCATAGTTTTTACACCTCTCCCGATGTCTCCTCGCGTCGGTCTCGTACCAATAATCGGTGCAAATCGCCATAGCGAGCAGCCCCAGCGCACAGAGCGCCAAGAAGAGCCCTGTGCCTGTTAATATTTTCATAGCGGCCATCTTCCCCGCTCGATGGAGAGCCCAAACAGTCGCAAGAAGGTTCCTCCGTGGCCGTGGTGGTGGTGGTGGTACCGCGTGAAATGAATCACGACGGCACTCAAAGCCTCGCGCAGTCCTGCACTAGGAGCATGATGGTGCAAGGCCAGTGTTGTCTGGACTGGATGCTGCGGTCTATTGTTGTGGTACCCGGTGCATGCAATGTTGTTCCCACCATCTGTTATGGTACAGGAGGAGAGGGGATGGCTGGCGACCAACGCTGTGAGGAGGAGGCAGGGGCAGGGGTGTAGTTGCGCGCTCTCTCCTCCAGGTTGCTGCGGGATGGGGGAGGACAGGAATGTGCTGCTCTGTTGTGGGGGAGTGGTCATTTGTAATGCTCGAATGGTCACCGTTTTGGATTTGGTAAACACGTCAAACACAGATGCGATGGATGGAGAATTTAAGCAAATGCAATTAATCTTTTAAATCAATAATCATTAATTTTACTACCTAGGAGTTTTTGAACAACTGCAAAGTGTTTATTCTAATATTACTGGTGATTTTATTTTGAAATTCACGAGTCAGTCAATTAACCCAATGCATATAATAAGATGAGTTCCAGCTTAGACTACTACATATTTGTAAAATGTCAATATTTACATGTTTGCATATTAAATATAATTTTAGGAATTAATAAATTACTCCATGCAAGTGCCATGCAAACCTATGCCCTATTAAGTGACAGGTCGGCATTTAAACTCACAAGCAGATGGTTCTCACCACTACAAACATGAAGACAAACACACTCTACTACAACTAAAAAAAAAGGACAATGGTAAAGATAAAAGGACATCAAAACAGCAATAAATACACTTGAATACAACAGTTCCGGCTAAAGGCCTAATAAACCTCACAGATTCACAGATCTGTTGGATCTTCTATTTATTTTTATGGATTTGTAATGATTCCGTTTCTACATTGGTTAAGAGAAACCTATGTAGTAGGCAATATATGTATTTATAGTGTTGTATAGTCACTATATTCATTATAAAACTATGTCATGTGGTGTAGTATTATAATTATGTTTGTTATATCCTGAATTATAACATTGTAAACGTCGCACAACGTGCTTTAACAATACTGTACTAAACTATGATGATGTCAATAAATAGAATTCGAATTTAATTGATAATCAATGCCTACACTGACTAACAATGGAAGCCCAATTCTTACGTACACACAAATACACGCGTGCACCATTTCTTCCTTATTGCTAATGGATTCACAATTAAATCAGACTGGGCCACTGTAAATCTGTTATGAAGAATATTGGAGTTGATCCCTGATAGCACAGGACCATGTTACAGCGGAAAATACTGATATGGCCGATTGTTTTCATAACTTGTAAAGTCTGGCTCACATTGGAGACGTTCATAGTTTTGGTGCGCGACATCTTGCTCCGATGCTGCTTTTGTTAGCAATAAGCCAGTAAAGTACACTCTAAAAGTTAACTTCTCACTGCAAATGAACTGAAGGTTGATATTGCTTAACATTTACCACAAAAATACGAGGGGGCATCCTCAAGATCAATCAGATCTTTTCATTCAGACTCCAGGAATATAACACATGGACTGAAGAATGAAGTTAGGAGGACATAGCTGAGTATCAATGAAAGATTTGTCACTCGCGTTTGCACTATCTCCTGCTGAACGTCTTCCACCACAGCATACATAGTGGTTGTTTGTTGTCCTTCTGTGCTGTGACTGAGGAAGACTCCCACAGACAATGGGCTGCTCACAGGCCAATGACTAAGGAAGGCAACCCGCAGTGGAGTCGTTATGGCAACAGAAGCTTGCCAAACAGACTGGGTTGAAATTGGACAAGTGTGAACACACAATCAATACCCCCCTCCCTACACGCCCATATGACATTTTAGGCATAGGATATTTGCAGTAAAAATATGCTCATGGTGGACAGGTATTTGTGCACTGAGGTCAGTTCAACACACCGGGCTGCCTCAGCACCTTGACACAGGTCTACCAATCACTATCAGGATATCCTAATCCCACTGAGTTCATAATACTGCCTTTGTCCCAGTTCTTTATACTAATGGTCTGTTAAAATTGAAAATAAACAGCAGTCTTTTTTATATAGATATATATTTAATTATTCAGGGCTGCACACTTTCACTGAGGAGTGTATGAACAACATAGTGATGTTAATAATTCTGAATGGTTAACTGAGTTGAAATCTGTCCCCAGTCTCCCAAAATTATTGCCAACAAATAAAATTCAAATATATTAACAAACAGTACCAATCTTTTTTTAACACAAATATTTACTCAAGCGTTTCGTCAGAGCACCAACATGTGCTCAAAACAGTGCAGATTGTACTGTGTGGGGAAAATACAAACAGAAAAATAAAATAAAATAAAGTACTTTGGTGTAGACCTGATACTAGTGTAACAGACCATCCTGACTTCTTGGCACTTAGTTCTTAACAAAACAAAATGATTTAGTGGTGCACATCTGATAACGCTGTATGGCGCTTGTCTCATTTCCAATAAATATGCAGCAGCTACATCAGAAACAGAAGATGCACAACAGTAACAATAAGGTTGAATACATTTTAAAGAAGGTCCAATAATATCTCTTGTGTTGAGCAGGTACATCAGGTGCACCTGTGTAAATGTATGTGCAAAAAAAAAAAAACATGATTGTCTGATCCACAATTTAAGACAATTTGGTAACAGATATCCATACAATCTCTTTTAATTCCCTCGATATTTAACTCTGGTAGAATTTGTTTCCACACAAGTGTCCTGTCAGAAGATGGAGACGGTGTTGCTTTCATCCATCCATAAAGTGCCGATGTTTTGACAGATGTTTGTTTTTTAGTGTAATGATATCAAAGAGATGTAGTCTCTTTGTTGAATGAGAGGTACCAGACAAGAGAGGTTGGTGGAGAACAGGATTTCTCTCCTGTGCTGAGTATTAGTGTTTGGTAAAGTGAGGGGGTTCCCTCCATGTTCAGTCAACAACGGCAGAGAGCAGAGCCATTACAGCCACGCCACAGAAAATGAGCAGGATCTGCAGTAGGGAGTGCCTGGGGAAAAAATAAATAAATAACAATGGTTAGAGATTCAGACAGATTAAAGGACATTAAAGGTTCCATGTGTAACTTTCAGAAAACCCTTACTATTGGCACCTGTGGCTGTTAACTGAACAGTCAGCATCCTGTTGCTGCTGCTTGCATCCATTGACCTGAGCAACTATCATCTTGGGCATCGGCCAAAAGAAGGATGTGACATACACTAGACTGAACACTGAAATGAACAATGAACAATGAATGCTGGAAAATGAACTACCATTATATTTCAAATAACTTAATCTATAAAGATCCTGTATTTTATTTGAAACACTGGCTCCATGATACTGACTAGCTTGCCGTTTGCAAATCACCCCATCAGCCAATGCCACAAAACAACCAGACCCATGCCGCACAGCTAAGCCACAGCCAGCCAGCCAAACCCCAGCTTAGCTTAGGTTACAGTTAAGTTTGCTAGCCCCTGCCTTGCATCGCTCTTGGCTAGTTGAAAGCAATCGTAAGTTATGAGCCTATGACAAAATACACTTAAGACTTACCAAAGTCGGAAAAGGAAGCCCACAATGATTGGATTAAGTGCAGTGGAACTTGAAACGATCACTACCCACAGCATCTTCCAACCACCCAGCCAGACCAAAGCTTGGACCTAAGAGAGCGAGCTGGAGAGATGCGTCTACGGCCCACCTTTATTATGCATTCACATAGTATTTTGCAAGCAATAACGTTAGCTAGCAAGCAAAGGTTAGCAAGCCAGCTGCAATCCAGCCACTCTGAATGGATATGGCCACCCTGCAACGCCAGCAAATAAAGCAACCTTCAAACGACAAGCCAGCAAATCTACCAGCGAGATCAGCCCCCTGAAGTCTGGAGGAATTAGCTGCCAATATCCACTCAAGGCACTCATCCACGTTAGAAAGCAAGCTAACATTAGCCAGCTAAAACCACAATATATTTCACATTGTTTTAAGGATTGTTAGCTTTGTGGCCTTTGTGTTGGAGCCTTTGTTGCCAGCTGTTTGTTGACTTTAGTGGGCTCCATTTCTAAGCTGTTGTTAGCAAGTGTGATGTTCTGTAAATGCTGTAGGGGAGAAGGCACTCAGGAGTGTGCATAAACATCACATACTTTGCATTTTCCACAGAATCTATCCTAATACTTTACACAGAAATCAGGTCATAAGCTGTTACAGGAAGGTCTCATGTTTGAAGTTACGTTACAATCCTTTCACACATGGGCAATACAAAGCAATTAATACATGTAAATGGGTTCCCATTCTTGTATATAGAACCTTTAAAGAAATATGTCACCTGCCCACCACAAAACGTATTAAATATTTCACAAAAAATACAGAAAGTTTTGTTCTACAGTAAACAGCTGACTTTCATTGTCACTATGGTTCAACTATAACACCACCCAAGAAGTTAAAGGTACCCTATGGAGTTTTTGGCCACCAGTAGCGCTATGGAGCAATGTTTTTACTATGTTACAAAATTTGTAATGTCAACACACACCGGGATGCACATATGCACATGTGATCACACAGAGCACAGGTGGCGCAATGGTCAACAGCTGGTGGTGGTAACACGCCTAATAACAGAGCAATACACCAACATAAGCAGGAAAGAAGAAAACTGCAAGCTAATAAACATGGATGCACTGTAAACAATGCTGTATTGAAAATAATTTTTTTTTTATTGATCAGCTCAGCAAATGTTTTATGACAAAGGAAATGCATTCAACACGTTAGTAAGACCTCAAGGACACACACAATGTTTTAATGAGTAACACTAAATATAAACATGACTTATGTTTATTTATTTAAAAACTCAAGAGAACCATTTAGAGCATGAGTATTCAAAAACATCCAAAATACCTTAAACTGGAATCTTCTAGCAGGTCAGGCACCACATTCACCAAGGCTATGTAGAGGAAGCCTCCAGAAGTGAAAGGCAATATCCAGGAAGTGGCATTTTCTAGAAACAGAAGGAAAGATTTATGACGGATTCTGGCAACTTTAAAAGGGTCTCCAGTTTACAACAATGTGTTTGATTGAATGTATACTGAGAATTGATCCTATGTTACCTGTTCCTTTTGGTGACTGAGCGCACAGAGCAAAGCAAGCTCCCAAGACCCCGACCAGCGCTGTGGACAGCTGCATGCGAGCAGCACTCCACCGGTCAAACCCGGCCCTTAGAAGAATGGCAAAGTCTCCCACCTACAGGCAATGAGACAGCAGGGGAATGACTAAACACATTCAGTGGGTTTACAAGCACTGTCACTGTCTGAGTCTTCCTATGTACTGTTTGATATTTAAACGTGAAAGCTTCAAGTAGACCTTGAACTTCAGAAATGATATTGTACAGTTTAACCAAGAATTATGTAATCTCACCTCGTGGGGGATTTCATGGAGCAGGATGGCAAAGGTGGTGAGGAACCCAACCTGCAAGAAAAGTCTCATTACCATTACTCTGTAAAGAAACGTGCTCTGTAGTATCTAAGGGAAAATGTATATTGAATGCTAAGATGTATGTATTCAGCTTGCAGTGCACAGCGCAAATAGGGAAAATGTTCAAGTTAAAACTTTAAGAGCTGCTTAAAGAGCTGTTAGACTAGGTTTATACAGTCCTACATGAAGAGCATGTAGGACTGTTCTGTAAATCAGAATCGAGTTAGGAGCATAGTGATATGAACATGACATGTAGGTGCAAAGCTACTGCAGATCAGCATGTCACAATGTTAATGATGAGGTACTCTCCACACATTAGCCAACCTGAATCTCAAACCAGTTGTAGTTGGATGATTCCAAAAAAGTCAAAAAAGGCCATGAGGCATAATGTTGCTTAATGACATACCCCCCATCCCCGAAAAAATAATAATTGTTTTTCTTATCCGTGTTTAATCAACACTTAGTTGATAGATATCGCTTTCAGCATTTAACTGTGGCACAAATCACATTGTGACAAATGTGCATGAGAGTAAACAGAAAACACCGGTGAGATGTCGTGTATGTTTGTGACATCTAGGTAACTTCCTCTCTGGCACATTGATCCATAGTTCATGCTGCTAGCCTTATGTTTCTCCAGCTGGACTCTCTCCTTCCCACAGCCACAAATATACAGAAACCTACTGAAGCGACAACATTTCATGTTACTGCAGATTAAAACACATCTTTTTTAACAAGCCTGTAAGATAATATGACAAGTTTCGAACTGAAAAAAGGTTGTTGTACCCTGTAATGAATACCCACTGAGTGATCCACTTTTTTCCCTACACTTTTTGTAGTAATGCTGATACAACAACTCCACTGTTCTGCCAGTGAGCCTATGCACACTGCCAAACACTGTACTCACAAGGAAGGTGTTACATGTCCCAATACCCCAGATACATTTTTGTCCTTTGCTTTCACTAAGTGTTATAGCGCTCCTCTTTGGCCATTTTGTAGGTCTCCTGCTGAAAAATCAACCCTTTTAAGTACAAAAAAAACATTTACACACAATCAGACATCTCTTCTTATTACTCAGTTTTCCCAAACCATTTTCCCCCCTCCCCATACAATTAGATTTCGACAACATTATAAAATGAATAAATGTTGTGTTTTCTTGGTTGCTATCCAACAAGAAATAATAATTATGGGGTCAATCAATGATGACAATATCTGATACTTGAATACTTTGCTACTTAATTGTTCTACATGTCGTCCTGCCAGACAGAGTGGCAATTTATGCACTGTATTTATTAGCAATTATTGTCACTTCGTGATTGTCTGCTAATTTGGTCTGCAACCCCATGGAGCTATTTTACCTGCAATTATACTTTATGAAAACCAGGATTGCATGCATAAATGTACATGGTACATGTGAATGTAATGATATTCTCATGCAAGTAATTTGCTAAACTAGTGTGGTTAGACTGTTTCCAGACTGGCATAAAACAGAAGTATATTTTGAGTTATTATATGCATTCAAAAACTGAAATTCTAGAGGGCATCTTTATCCAAAAGAAAAACAAAGACAAAGCATCTCAGCCAGATAGAGCGAAGCAACTTCATAATCAAACATACTTAGATGCATATCACTCTAAATAAAGCACAGGATGAACAAATGTGGGAGTTCTCATTCATTGATGAAAACAAACATTTTTTTGTGTAAACCACATTTTAATGAGAAATATAGACATTCAAAGAAAATAGATTTTTAGTCTTTTTAGTGTTGTGGTTTATCATAGCTTCTTACCTTTTTGCTAACCAGGAAACTCCCTGCTACTGCCAGGCCATGGGTGAAGTTGTCGATGCAGTTGGCCAGTAGATTTAGGTATCCACTTGCCTTTGAGACACGAAACATAATGCCACTGTTACTTACTTTACCCATAATTAGTCAAAACTTAAACTGAAAGAAGCATGTACAACAGGGATGTTATTGTCCATCAGTCAAAACATTCTATTTTAAAAGACAGAATACTGGTTAAATTTATAGGTTGTAATTTTAATCACTAAATAGATCATGTGATGTCAGCTAAAGTTACACACAGCTTTGTAGTCTGACCCCATTAAAATAAGGGTGTAAATGATCCGTTCCTCTGAGGAAACCTAGAATCTGAGTCCAGCGTAAGAAAACAAAGAAACTCAAAAACACTGGAAAGCAGCTGCTGGTGATGCCCCATGACTTTCTGAGCCAATTTCGGTGTCGTCGTCACTGTAATAAACTGTTGAATTGTGTGGGGTGTAACCCGCCTCTGCCCTAATGTGTGCTGGGATAGACTGCAGACCCCTTTAACCTTGCCAAGGATAAGCAGATAAAGAAAATGGATTGGTGGATGGATATTTCATGACATTTTGGTCGAATATGTTTCTTTTTGTGGAAGCTTCGAATAATAACAGTTTTTTTCCAACCACTTATTTTACTTATTATACTTATTTTTCATGTTATTTATTGTGTTGTGTTTACAAAGATGATAATCTGCAATATCACTAATAACCCACCAATTTTTCTGATGGTGGCTGTTTTTTTGTGTGTGTTTTTATAGGAATCCCTATATGGCATGAATGTTTACAATGAAAAATACAGTACAAAGGACTTATTTGCACTTACACTACAATAATGTGTGTAAAGAAAGCAATGTGTCATGCTCCTCAGGTTGTGCTAAAAGACTAAGGTGAAAAATAAAGATAATAAACATATGTAAAAAGTGAAATTTACATACTGAATGTTACAAGTGCAAATATGCAATGTGCCAGGCACAAAAGATTTGCTGAAGACAAATAAAGGGTTTACAGCATATACAGCACAGTCTAACAACTAAGTTGCTGGTTATGACAAACTACATGAATCAGTTTGGAGGATTAAAGAAACAAACAAAAAAAAAACAACATACTTATAAATACAAACTTACATAAGTAACCCATATCAAGAGTTTACAGTATACAGTGGTATACAGTGGTGTCTCTTTAAAAAAATCTATTTTTTGTTAACTGGGAAATGTTTTGGTTGTCAGCATTACCTTGATTTTCTCTGATCTTTCCTGCAGACTCTGTTGCTTGGAGGATTTCCATGACTCTGCATGGTGCCCATTTCTGAGTGATACCACTGAATTTCTACTGAAAACTGTCTCAGACTGTGTCTGTGATGAAAAAAGGAAGAAAATCGAGGCAAAAATGAACAACTTGTCCCCACATGCACCATTATCCGATCCACTTTAAGTTTTTTTGTTTTTACAAATAATCTTTATTTTTACATTATCCGTCAGTGCCCACCATCAGTAACATGCCAATAACTTAAGGCTCCCTTAAGGAAACCACCTTGGCCACTATTAACACCAGTCTTGCTAAAAACAGTAAGTTTTAATAGTACAATAAACAGGCATTTTATTGTTGCTCCCACTGTGCGTCAAAGGGTTTCACCCACTGCCAGCAGAACAGCTGTTTAAAAAAAAAGCCCTTTTTATTTTTATAACTTTCCACATATGACACAAATGACCCCTAAATTCAAAACATGTTCATATTTTGAAAATAGAAGAGACCGATTCATCTCCAGTTACAGCCTCTGTTTTCCGAGAACAGCTAACTTCCTTGTTCCGTCATTCAGAAACCACTAACGTTGCCATTTAGACAAATTAAGTGAGAAGGAAATAGCCTGCTGTCTTCTGGTCACAGGTAAGGAAATGTTTGCTCCATGTCTAAGATTGAGGCATAAGGAAGTAATAAAGTTATGATTATTTTTCAGCGCTATCAATCTCCTCCTGCTGTAAAACCGTTTGTCACTTCAAAGCACACTGAGTTTTGTTTAATGAAGAATTTAAAATGATCCAAAATTTTTTAAAAAGTAATAAAATCTCTTCTTCGTATTTTATGTCCAGCTTTATGGCTGTTCACACAAAAACACCGACCCAAAAAGAAGTTCAGCTTGTCACTGTCCCTGCACCTTTGGTAAGATTAGCCTAAACACACATTATTTTAAAGATCACAATACATAACCTCCCTCTTTTTCTCTCACACGCCCCTGTCTATTGTTGCCTCTGTCTATAAATCGAGTGCTCTCCTGTGGACGCTGAAATGGCTAAAGCAGCTGCTTCACCCGGCACTATAAATAGACACTAGTGGAGGAGCTGAGCCGTGGATTCCAATCTTCTCCCTCACTGGCACAACAAAGCCAGAAGGGAGGATGAGACGGCCCTTTGCAAAACATACTGCAACCAGCCAATCATTGACTGCAAAGAAGCAATGTGTTGAAAAAGTTGTTTGTCAATCTTGCATTTATATTTCATGTTACTGTACACTATTTATAATATAATTTCTAAACAATAAATGTCACCTTTAATGCTGATAAGGATAAGCATCTCTCTAACTAAATAAAAATAATAAATAATAAAAACAGCTGTTTCAACCCAGTAGACACCATCTCTCCTGTGGTTTAATAAAATTCCATTTCATAATATTTGTACTAAGAGGATCCTAGTTTGACATTGTGAGAAATATGCTTATTTGCTTTTTTGCCCAGTTAGATGATATGATCGATACCGCTCCCATGTATGGTTAGCTTAGCATAAGACTGGAAATCAGGGGGAAACAGCTAGCCTAGCTGTGTCCAAAGGTAACACAATCCACCTACCAGTGCCTCTAAAGCTCACTAGTTAAAATGTTAATATTGTGTTTGTTAATCTGTACAAAAACATAAGTTTTAAAATGACACGTTTTGGGTTTATGGGGGGTTATGAGTTGGTCTACTCCTTTGCTGGCTGGCAAACTCACAGGGAGGACAACATGTAAAAGTTTCCCAAAATGTCCCAAAACTATTCCTTCCCTCCCTGTTAGAAGAGATCGCTGACATGCCGATCGTACGGTAGGTCATCTGATACTGCAGTCACCAAAAAACTGATACGACTGAAAGAAGTTTTCCGACAAAGCACTAACAGGAGTCTGAAACACAGGCACAAACATGTCTGTGTGCAGTAAAACTAGGCTTATTCCGATTCAGCGATTGGAATGCAACATACTATATACTTTTTAATATGAGTAAAATCATAATTCAGATTCAGTCCACAGATTCGCTCAGTACCTCCGCTTGCTCGCTCCCTCTCTCTCAAACACATTGAAACCGAGCCGTCTGTATAAAGCCCCTCTTCTTTGTGCACAATCTGAATCAAAACATGATCATGCGCTGGAGGAAAGATTGTTGCCGGCTTTTCCGCAATTCCTCAATCAATCCATAGTTGAATGGTCGGTATTATGAGCACCGCTCCACAAATGTGTCCAAAATTAAAGCATTCAAGTTAACTCTGAGAAGTTAGTCTATCTATGTTCTCGCTATGTTATCTAGCTATGTTAACATTAAAATACAGCTGGGTTGTCGAGGTTACCACGCTGCACATAGCTGCAAGGCAATATTGACTGCAGATCACCCAAGCCTAAGCAAGACTCCTATGTACAGCAGTGGGCAAATTCTTCTAAAAACATACTTACAGCAGAATTAAAATTCAGGTCTGAGTCAGAAGTGGGATCCTCCTGGCTGTCTTGGTCTGAGAACATCCTCTCCAGGAGCAGGAAGGACAACAGACCAAAGATTACCCACAGGCCCTGGGTCATGTAGTGGTCTTGTTTACTAGCTAGGATGGAAGCAGGGATTGTACATAAGACTGAGTGAGGAAATACACATATACATTTTGAAAGCAATGTAATGCACAATTAACAATTTAAGAACTACGATTTCCAAATTAGGTTAACTGGTCTTTGTTGTATGTGAAAAGGTCTTAAGCAGTCTACTGCAGTAATGCAGTTTATATTATTAACTTATCATTAGCCTATTTCAACTAGAACTATTTTATTCTGGTGTATGTTTACGAGGAAGGGAATGGGTTAAAGAAATAATAAATACTTCAAATACAAAGGTGGTGGTGTTTTTGGTGGGAAGGTGACCCACCTGAAGAGCCAGAGCGCGCCCAAGCCTCAGGAAGGAGGTGAAGGAATACATCACCAAGGAGACCACCAATAGCAAAGCTCAAGAGCTGCTTTAGCTTCTGGCATCCAGCTGAGAAAACACAAAGAAAAAGAGAATGGGGAAAAAGGTAGTTACTGTAGAGTGTGTTTAATAAAGGACAGCACACTTAATGTGATCTTCTTTCATTTTTACTTGGCATCAAAGGCACAATCAAGAATTTACAGTTCTACATTTCCTTCCCCTTTCCTGTTTTTGTCTCTGGCTTAGGTTACTATTATACACGGTGTTGATTCATGTGTTCCAGAGACATTTTTCATTCTTTGGGAGTTCCCTCAGTAATGACTTACCTCAGGTCAGGATTGCACTTGAAAACCCACGGCCTAAAATACATCAGGAATGCCACGTTCCTGTGGGTGGGGCCACTCAAGAAGCTGCAGGCTATACTGACCTATAGTAGCTTAGGCCTGGTTATTGAAGTGTTTCTGCTTGGGTTTTTTTAATTTGTGCATAAAACAGGTGGATTGAAACGCACTGTGTCTTTAAGCATTAGTTAAGGAACATCAAAAATGAACCAAGGTGACACTGTTAATATGGACCAGTTAAAATAAGATATATAAATCAGTACATATTACTGTCTGTTACTGTCTGTTGTAGCCACACTAGCAGCATGGTTCAGATGGCAATGTGGATCTGTCCACCACTTTAGTCCACACTAAAATAACATCACAGTCATGGACCGCAAAGGAAGAATCCTACAAACTTTGGTGGACGTCCCACTTTTCATCTAGTGCAACTAACAATATGTCAACATCTATCACAAGGATTGGCACAACAGACATGTAGAGTTCCCTGACAAGACACGTTACACCTGCTAAACATCAGCAAGTTAGTTTGAACATATTAGCATGTTACTGTGCCTCAGTACAGTCTCACAGAGCCACTGGCATGGCTGTAGACTCTTTTTTTGTTTCAAAGTACCTCTAGGGGTGCAAGACACAAGAACATTTAAATCCTACACTTTTGTGAAGCTGGATGACCTTTTAAATGACAGTCTGATATTCTTTCTATCCAGTAAAACACGTAGCTTGCTAGTGATTTAGCAAGAACAAAAATAATCTTTCTAAGGGAAGTTTTTCTGTAAGTTTTCTTCACTTACTGGACAGCCTGCTTTCAAAACTTTTTTTCTTATTTATACTATAAGGCATGTGCAGAAAAACATGCAAGGAGGTCAGGATGTCACCACTGAATATGTTCTGTTTACCATCTTAAACATTTAAACCAAGTATGTATAGCGGGGTCTAAGACTGGCTGATAAAGACCCAGTGTAAAGTGGAAATAAAGTGAGCCAAATTCAAGTGTGATGAAGACGTTTTGGAAACTGATGAAGACAAACACAGCATGGTTTAATGAGACTCGGCCAAGGAGCTACAGTGCCAGCATAAAATGTGTGAACACATGCAATGAGTGTTTAAATAAGGTTGTTGTTCATCCCTCAATACACGTATGAACAATCTATTGGATATTAGTTCAAATTAAGACAATATGCTTATATAAGTTAACCTAAAGTCACATTGTGTGTCATTTAAGCCACATGCAACACTTTCTACATACAGCCAGACAGTCTGTCTGTAATGAAACAAAATAAACAATCTCAACCTTGGGTTAACTTACAAATGGATAGCAGTGAATCATGATCAAGGCAGCTGCATCAGTGTGTTGACCAAGCAGGCAGAGAGGAGAGACAGTGAGCTGTACTGTTTAGGAGAGTTACTGGCTGTCACATTTGGCTTACTTTAGCTCAGCAATTGACCCTATCATGACCTGGGTAAAACCTGTTTCGTAGTACCCCTCAATTCCCTCACACCCAGCAGAACTACTTGTCACTCCCACTGGGGTTGTTTTCTCTCGTTAGGGAGTGTGAAGAGCTGAGGTTTACTACTGAGCCACTATAGAGCTCGTTCAATTATATATAGTGGTGAGAAGTGTGAGAATTTTGGAAGCCAGTGCCGACGGATGTCCTCTCTGTAATTCCTGCAACGCATAAAGTATGCGTTAATGAGGCAGATATACTTCCTTCTTTTACTGCAGACATTTGAACTCTGACCTCTTCTGCTTTCAACACTTCAGGCTATTGGCTAGTGTTTATAGCTGTTTTACATTTAGATGGTGCCATTTGTGTTCATGTTTATGGAGGACCGATCCTGACACATTCAGAGATAAATACAGAAATAAATAAATGCTCAATAAATAAATAAGCATCCAATTAAATACACAAAAAATAAAGTAAATAAATAAATGTAGGTAGTAATTAAATTATACAAGGAGACATAAATGTATATATTTTAATTAGTGTCTTACTTATTCACCTTTGTAATAATTACCTTATTTATTTATTGTCCGTTATAATCTTCAACTTTATTTATTAATTACTTATTTTTTAATGTATTTATTTATGTGTGTGTTTTAATATTTTTGTCTGTTTTATTCTTCCTTTGTATTTTTTTACCTTATTTGTTTTCACCCATGGTATTTATTTCTGCCTGTCCTTTTTACATTTCTGTTTGCATTTCTGCCTCATTATGCAAATGAGGAGGGGCTGTGTCTCAAGGGGTCAATTTCTGCCCATTGGTTGACCAGTCAGACGGGAGAGCTCTAGGCCTTCTCTGCCTGCAGACATCAACGAGCTGCTCTTCACACAGTCAGATGGCTTCCTTCAGTGCGCTGAGGTGTTTAGCAACTCTGTTTGAAGACACTACCAGCCATGTCTTCCTTCTCTTTTCATGTGGACACTCTGACCTACAGAGTTTTCAATTAGCGACTTATACGTACACAGAACTGCAGGAAAGTGAGCTGTTGTTTCCGAGAGCCACATCAGTTGGTCCGCAGATACATCTGGAGTGCACTCCTATTCGACTAATTACGGTAAATGCTCCCACACGGAGCAGCTCGTCACTCTGCTGTTTTCAGCTGCTGTTTCAACAAAAACGCCATTCAGGGTGAAAATTCAACCGTGGTGTTGTGTCGGGAGATGCAGTGACTTAACCAGCGGTGAGTATTATGAATAATACATGTAATCTGTTAGTTATATGAAGTTTGCCCAAAACAAGGAGCAAGCTCTAAAGGGACCGAGCTTTTGCTGTAGCAGCTCCTAAACTGTGGAATGATGTACCTCTGCACATTAGACAGGCATCTTCACTGTCTCTTTTTAAGTCTCTTCTTAAAACCCACCTATTTTCCTTGGTATTTGAATACTGAAGTTGACATTTCTTTTTTTGATTGTATTAATTTTACTGTTTTATTTTGTGGTTGTTATCGTTTGTACTTGTATTTTATGCATCGTATGAGCTATATATTTGGTGTCTTATTTATTTTTCTGTACAGCACTTTGTGTCCACTTTGCATGTTTAAAGTGGTCTATAAATAAAGTTTGATTGATTTTCAAAAAATGACCATTTACAGACAATCTTCCACAACCACACAGTTATGCTGATAGATCATTTCACTGACTTGCAAAATATTGCACATTACATAATTTTCTAGGCTGTGTTATAGGGGTGTGACGAGATCTCATGATCTCGCGATATTAAAATATGACGATATTTCCACTCAATTCTGCGCGAATCAACTCCGCCCATCTGATGCAACACTGGCGTACGCAGTGATATTAATGAAGTGGACCCCTTTTAGCGCTGTGAGTTGCAGACAGTTTGTGACCGAGCAGTAAGTAACTTGCAGAGTTTCCCAGATATAAACATCTAAAACTGAGGCACAAACTTGCTTTGTTTGGGACCATGATCTGCACTTCATCGGAAGTGCTGAAGTTAAAATTTGTGTGGATTTTTGTTTTCACTTGGTTTCAGTGTCCATCTCTTTGTCTCATCCAGTTCTGTATCTCTCAGACGGTGTGAAGGGGATACTATTATGTCAGCAGAGCAATATCGTAATGCACAACAGAGTATATGGCGGGTAGACTTTTAAAAAATATTATGAATTGTCATTAAATGATGACAGTCTTTTTTTCTCAACGTGTCAGAGAACACAGATAGGTGTGATAGATTCTGAATGTGCAGAAAGGTTTGAACATGAGCAGAAAACCTGCTGAAACACTGAAGCTATTGTAGTCCAGGAGTTTACAACTGAATTAAAATTAATTAATTTCATCTACAAACAAGAGACACAAAAGAGGAGGGAAGACTAAATCATGCTTGCATGTGTGCTGACTCAGCAGGGATGATATTCCATGAGAAAAGTTCAGCTACAGGAGAAAACACATATCTGAAAGCAACACAGAATGCCTCAGAATCTAACTGCATTATATTCTATCATATTTTTACTTTCTGAATTGTCACCTGAATCTTGAATTTTGTGTTTCCCTTTACATAAATAAAAACATTTCCACCATAAACTGATGCAGGAAAAAAAAAAATCACTGCAATGCAGAAAATTAAGTATTCAATGCTCAAATTTTTCATATAATTCGGTATTGAACATTCCCTAAAAACAGTGTTAAAATCTCATCTTGTCCTCATTAATTCAATATCATGTATTGTCTCGTCTCGTGAGCTATGTGTATCATCCCACCCCCATCATTACTTTATCATATGGGAAATATTGTGATAGTATGGTATTGTGAGTTGCCAAATTCACAGACATGCTTAGGTTACATATTATCATTTCTTACCTTCTGTTTTGAGGGCTGCTCCAGCTTCGATGGGAATAACAAGTAGGGGGAAAATCCCACTGAGGCCTACAGCAACAGATCCCACTAGGGACAAGATCCAAACATGAGCATGTTCGCTGGCTAAGAAGTCTGCTACTGCTCGGAGGCCTGGGAGGTCATCTGTCAGGCTCGGGCCTGGTCCTGCAGCCGCGGCTGTTGCATGAGCCATAGATGTTTGTGTCATCTTCTGGCTGCTCGATGCCCCCTTGGAGGAAAGCACCAGCAGGGTAACTGGGATAAACAGAGCAGCAACAGCCCAGCTGGGCTTCCTACCGCTTCCACCTTTCATCCGTCCCACGGTCCAAAAAGCACTTGCAGCCAATAATGCTGCAAGAGGAGCACACTTTCAGACAAACAGGCCTCTTCAGCACCTTTTCAACAAGGTAAGAAAGCATTAAATTAGGGCTGCAACTAACAAGTATTTTCTTTGCCGATTAATTATATTTGTGTGTCTAAAATCTTCAGTTTTTGTTCACACAAGACAAAGCAAGGCAGCAAATCCTCGCATTTTAAAAGCTGGAATTAATGAATGTTTTGCTTGCATTTTGCTTGAAAGAAATGACCTCTAACAATTAATACATTATTTATCAAGTTGCAAGTAAAAGTTCACTTAATTGACCAATCAATCGATTAATTGTTTCAACTCCACATTAATCACAGATTTCAATGGACATCATAGCCTTACTGTGGATTTTTGAGGCTGATAGCAATATTTAAGTGTTAAATCAAATCTGATAAACTATCAACTGATGTACATTTCTTTTTTGTACATAAAGACATGACAAGATTCCCTCAAAATTGTGATTTAGAATTGTGAATCATATCTTGGGCATTTCAGTACTGCAAATTTATTGTATACCAGATGCAAATTGTTGATACTCTGACCAGCAAAGCTACTGGTATGCTTAAGTCATATTAAAAGTTTAACGTTACTTGTGTCAGAAAAAGAAAACACCAGACTCCAGTGTTTGCTTTAATTTTGCATATGACTGAGGACATCTGGCCATGCCTCTGGTTCAGTGAAAAGTTATCGTTAACCTTACTGCCACTGATTATTCATCAGAATAACAATATTACAGTACAATAACAATAATACAGAAAGGCTGCAACACAATGTAACAGTGGTAACGTTAGGCTATTTGTTATGGCTTACAAGCATCTGAACATGCTGCTCATCATTTGGGAGCAGGACAGAGTCGATCAGATGAAGCGTCAAACAGTTGAGACGCGAAATGAAATAGAAAAACAAAACGCCACAATGCTAAACTGGCAAACGGTGCGGCAAATTCTAATTTCAGTGAAATCTGTGTCTTTCACGACAACGACACACTTAACTAGCTAACTCTTAAACCCGTGGATAAGGGTTAGCAATCTAACGTTAGCCGGAAAACATATTCAGAGCAGACGCTCACACAGCTTGCTAAAGACATTAGCTCCGAATCACTGCAAATCAACGCTAACGCTGCTAAAACTTGAGTAAGTTAGTGCTAACGTAACAGGCCGGTAAACCGCAGTAAATTGCTAACATCAAATTACAACAGGAATGCAACATTTTCCACGTAAATACCTTGTAGTTTCGGCAGTCTTTGCACCAGTGTGTCCCTGCCATCCAGGCCGACTTGATGAAGGAAGGCTTGCGCCGCTGACTTCCACCAGACTCCCAGCTGCCGGAGGCTGGAGCTGCAGCACCACAGAAGTAACTCTCGGGCGCCACGGCTTTCCCAAACAGCCACGTATCAGGATTTTGGAGGGGTGTAAACAGGAGAGGAGAGTCAGGACGTGGGTCCCGCCCCACCAAACTGTTCAGGAAGTAACTTTTCTTTGCCCCCCACATTAAGGAGCAGCCTCCAAGAGACACATCTAAGGATATGATATCCCTTTAAGCAAATCTACAATGCACATTATCTCCAAATAAAGTTCTTCATGTCCACATTTAGGCAAATTTCTTACACAAAGTCACAGCAAAAGATCAAGTAATTGATGTAATCGGGGGGTTTAAAAGAAAGTTTCAGGGGAATCAATTACTGTCTTTCTGGATCATGTTATCTTTGCGTTATTATTACACCCAAATGAGTTTTATCATAATATAGAGATTGCAAATGTATTAAACCACAAAAATATCCCTTTAAATCAGTCCTGGGAGCTGTGTGTGTAATGCACACCTTTAATATAAAATTCATAAATGTTTGTCCATTTATACTTGTACACATGTCTATGCTTGTAATTTGTAACAAAGTTACACGGACTCACCATTCACTCTAGTGTTTTGTAATTAAAAGCTAAATTTAATTTCATCTGAAAAGAGGACCACTGAGCAACGGTCCAGTTCCTGTTCTCCTTAGCCCAGGTAAAACCCTTCTGATGTTGTCTCTGGTTCAGGAGTGACTTCACAATGAATGCGACACTTGTAGCTCATTTTCTGGACACGTCTGTGCCTGGTGGCTCTTGATGTAGCCAGTCCACTCCTTGCTCCCCCACGTTCATGAATCGGCTTTGCTTAACAAATCTCTCAAGGCTGCGGTCATCCATGTTGCTTGTGCACCTTAACCTTCCAGCCAACTTTCCATGACTATGTTTTGATACAGTACTCTGCAAACAGCTGGCCCTTTCAACAATGACCTTCTGTGGCTTACCTTGTGGGCGGTGTCAGTGACTGTCTTCTGGAAAACTCAGAAGTCAGAAGTCTTCCCCATGATTGTGGTTGTGTGTACCGAACCAGACTGAGAGTTTAAAGGCCCATCTCAGGTCGACATTTCTGTATTATGCATTCTTAATTTGAATATTTTGAGGTATGGATTTTTGATTTCCATGAGCTGCAGGCTGTAATCACCAAGAATAAAACGAAAGAAGGCTTGAAATATTTCACTCTCTTTATAATGAATTGTCACATAATTGTAACATATCACAGTGGGAAAAGCACAGGTGTTGGTGGCTGGATTCCATTTAGATGCTTCAGTTTCAGGGTGGTGGTAATGCGCATGCCACCTCCCTGTTTGTCTTGAAGTCTTGTCAGTCAGAACATAGGGTTCGTCATTTGAGCAGTTTCGATTTCACCGCCTTACAGCCACATTGCAGGAGCACAGCACTCAAAGGGCCAAGCCTGGAACAAACCTGTTCAACACATCATCAGCCAAAGTGGGTCAGTGAAATCTAGGTTGTAAAACCTTTTTAAATCAGTGACCCCTAAAAATGAATCTTAACCAGAATTATGCTGACAAGTTTTGCCTGAATTATGTTGGATGTGGAAATGATGGAAGACAGACTATTGCACCTTTAAATTGAGAATTTGTTGCAGTAATGAAGTGTATTACTGCAGTTCTTAATACAAGAAACCCAGATTTGAAATAGACAAACAATAAGCAGCCAGGAAAAACAATACTGAATGTTGAGGTAAAAAGTATACTTGGAATAAGGGACACCACCTTCGCAGCAATTTTCTCTTTGGCATAAATAGAAACTCATCAGTTGAGATGGAGAAAATAGGGTTTATTAATAAACTCAACAAGGAGACTAAAGAGGACTTCCAGCTATCCACACACATCCACAACTCAATTACATCTCCACACACCGAGTTATATAGTGATCAATTATCCCACATGCTTCTAATTGGAAGTACAGGCTATTGGTACACTGAGCTGTGCACATACATCTATTGATGCTACTGGACACATCTTCAGTGATGTTCCTGAAATCATTGGGTGTTTCGGGTCTTTCAACATCATACACCCTCATCCAGGCGACCCAGCTGAGGCTGTTCAGATCCCAGCTTGTGTCCAGTTGCCGAATCTAGCTACTTTGCCCCCATGGATCTCCTCTTTTGAGCCATATCCATCTTGAGGCTTTCTCTGCTGCTTTGGTGGTATTGTGGATGGCTCTTCTCCTCCTCACTCCATCGATTCCTAACAGACTGAAGGCTCTGAACAAGGATGGGGCTGCAAAGCCCCTGCATCCGACTTCTATTAGGAGACACCTCGCTCTCCATCCGGCTTGTCGACACTCGCTAACCAGCCCCTTCGTACTTGGCGAGCTTCCTTTTAAAGGCCTCTTCCAGGCAGTCTTCCCAAGGGACTGTTAACTCCAACAGAACCACTTGGTTGGGGAACTTGAGTTGCTGCTCCAGGTCCACCAACAGCTGCCAGTCCCTCGCAGTGGCCGGGATGCCTGCAGATGTTTTTTCTGTTGGTCTTGGCTGCTCTCCAGCTTTGATGAAGGTGATGGCTTGTTTGGAGGGGAGGGAGCGCTTGGCCCACTCAACTCCTGCAGCAATGGCCTCAGCGATGGCGTTCAGCACCTGGTCATATCCCCACCTTTACCTTCCCTCTCCCAGTGCCTTTGAGCAGCAGCTCAGTGGACATGCTGGTGACTCCACTTTGCCCCATATGTGGGCTGGGAAGCACCTCATATACCGCCTGGATGAGAAACTTGAACCGCTGTGGCTCTGCCTTCCACAGTTCCGCCCATGTCACCTTCCTCTCAATTGCGTATTAGAGCACTTCCCTGGCTGTCGTTACCTTGTCCTCTTCCAAGGACTTGAGTGGCAGTTACAGTTTGTTGCGCTGCCCATAGAGTGTGATGCTACTTAGACTAATTGGAAGTACAGGCTATTGGTACACTGATAGTTCTATTTCAATAACTGTGCTTTCGCCAGTCATCAGAAGTCTCTGTTAAGGTAGGATGGTTTAGTTGTAGCCTAAAATGAAAATAAAACAAAGTAACTAAGTACATTTACTCAATTTTCAGTTTGTGTACTTTTGTTTGACAGCTATAGATACTACTTTACAGATTAGAATAAAAAAAAAAAATTAAAACACAATGCATTGTTAATGGTTAAACCAGTGTTTTGAGCTAGGGCTCCTGGTCATGTTTCAGATGTTCAGAGTTGTCTGTTATTAGCAGTTCCATCAAAGATCCATTTCCCATCTAAATTTGTCAGATGGTTTTATTTAAATGACTGATCAAGGCTCAAATAGGTGAAATAATCCAATATTTAGCAAAAAAGCAAAGATCATTGTTTTTTCTTTATTTGTGCCCCATTTTCCCTTTTAACCCCTTGGAAAGGCCTGGGCCCAGGCTGGGGCCAATGATCTACCAAACTGTTTATAAGTTAAAACTAAAACGGTGAAATTCTGCTTACACATAAACGCATTAGTATTAAAGAGGTGGTACTTATGGCTTTTTTCCTATCCTTTATTGAGTTATTTACCTTTTTTGTGCATGTAGGTTTGCAAAGTGAAAAAGCCCAAAGTCCAGCCCAGAGGGAGTTCCCATCTCCCACAGAAAACTCTGCTCTGAACTGCCTGAAAATGGCTCGTTTGTAGTCCAGCCGCTTCCCTTTAAGAAAGCTAAATGTGCCTCAAATAACGCTCGCCCAACACGTCTTCAAAAACACAGATGGAAAAACACTGAGCTGCAGCACACACCTCTCATCTCCCTTCCAAACACTAGCTACCCTCCAGGCAGTCAATGGACATAAAGTTGTTACTGTGATGTAGAGACAGAGCTCAGTTAAAACTTTATGGATGAAAGATACTTTTGTTACAGATTAATAACTCACCACTCTGAAACTCTTTCTCCAGTCCATGTTGCCAAGCTGGTCAGCAACATGTACAGCTGAATTGAAGCTGTTTACGGGCTTCTCTTGCCTGCTCTTCTCTGCTTCTGATTGGCTAGTAGTCCTTAACTAGGAACTGTGCATGTGCAACTCCCAACAAAGATCATTTAGAGACAAGATGTATCACTCCATAGCTAAAACGAGGCCCTCAAGCTGCAGCAATGTGCAGTATGAAAAAAAATACGGTGTTTTTTGAAAATTAAACCATGTAAACCTGTTCTGGTAAAACCCCTAAATAGGATTTTGAACCTGAAAATGAGCATAATACCACCTCTTTAACAAATTGATCATGTATTAATAGTACAACTTTTCTACAGAATGAGTACATTTTGCTAATAATACTTCTGTACTATTACAATTCATGTGTTGTAGCTTTATTTAAATCAGCAGTAGGGAGTTATTTTAAAAATAACGTTTTGTCATATTTGCTTAAACATGAGACAGATAATCTGAAAAAAAGGTTCCTCCTACTGCTCCTGATGCCATTTTCAAGAATCCATTGAGTCAAAACAACTAATCAGAGCCAGGAGAAGTCTCTAACGCAGTGTCAGTCTCTGCTCATGCATACCCTGTGCAGCCCCCCTCCTCATGCATGCTCTCATTCAGTCAAGCTCAGTATCTTCAGCAGCTTTAGAAGGTTTTCAAACACAATGTCTAAGAAACAACCACCAGCAATGAAAGAACTGCTCATCCCTCCTTCACAAGTGTGTGATGCATGTCGTATCGACGAGTGACAAAGAGGCATGATGATAAACAGTGGGGAATAACTTTTGAGGGCGGGCAGTGGTGAACTAGCCTCTCATTCTATTGTTAGATGCTTCTGAGACATGAGTCAGTGCTCATGCCCAATGAGTGCAGGGGCAGAGTGCACGCAGGTAGGCAGGCGGCCAGGTGGCCAGGTAAGCAGATAGGTACTGTAGTTAGGGAGGTAGACAGGCAGGTAGGGCAACCAATCATTTCAGACCAAATGAAATCATTGGCCATGCTGATTACAATCCTGCGACAGTTGCAGATACCGGACCTTTTAAATTTTTGTGTCAGAGCATTTGATTTAAATAAACTTTCAACAAATATAACAAAAAATGCTTCTAAACTAGATTTTTTACCACAGCTT